GTCTACTAGACAGTAGAGCTGGAAGGATATTGATTAAATTAGAGAAATTGTGCGTTCAAGTTCACACCTTTTCAACATACATAGCCGCACGATGTAACCTCTTCCTATTTTACTAAAAGGTTCATACATCCTCATTGCTCTCCCCGTATGCCCACCACACCAGCCACCCACCACACCAGCCACCCACCACCGCAGCCACTGCTTTGCCTAGCCTCGCCCCCCTCGCTCCTTAACGTATCTATTTAGTATTTATTTATCGTACATACAGTAGAAGCCATGTCATCGAATCACAGCCTGAGCACTTCAGGCTGTCCAAATAGCACAAGTAATGCTACCCGTTCTGCATGTTCCTTTGAATCCAATCTCAGCCACAATCAGTTCCAAAACACCGGCCACGGGTACTAGCTAGCTGGCTAGAAGAGTTCGGCTGCTTCTTCGATTGGTACATCAATGCCTAAGAATAATACATAAAGTTTTATAAAAAATGTTCCAAAATGCTACGAGTGCGTGTCAAGTGTCCAGCAATATCACTCGCTCACTGGGCAAATGACATGAAGCATCAAATCAACAATGGATGCGGCGTTTGCTTCTAGTCTCGCTCTGCATGTGCACGAATACAAGGAAGACACCCAGAAACACACACACAAAAGATGAATGAGTTATCCAGCTCTCTCTTGCATTCCCCATACACACAGAAAATGCGCAGACGCACTTACTAACCATATCGATGTGCTTCCTTGGTGGGTTTCTTGGTCGGTCCGGATTTTCCTTCTCGCCATACGACTCCACCGGGTGTGGACACTTCCGTGGTGACCAGGGTTCCTTCTTGTCCCGACAAAATTCTGGCGGCATCCTTGAGATCCCCAATGGCCGCCCAGGCTCCTGGTTTGGCATTGGGATCCGTGACAAAGTCCACGGCGGCCTGAATCTTGGGCCCCATGCTACCGGGGAACGCCTTGCCCGCCTTGGTTCCCAGCAAGTATTCCGGTGTCACCTTGGACATTTCTCGTGCATTGGGCTTTCCAAAGTTTTCCCAAATACCACCACCATCCGTCAGAATAATGTATCCATCGGCTTGTATTTCGGTACTGAGTTTGGCACCACAGGCATCCTTATCAATGACGGCTTCGACACCTTGCAGTGTGCTGGGGTTGGACGGAATTCGTGCCACGGGAACACCTCCTCCACCACATGCAATGGGCAGTACGGGATTTCGCGCATTGGGCTCTGTGGTTTCCAACAAGGCTTTTACGGCATCGAGTTGCAAAATTTCGAGGGGCGCGGGAGAGGGCACGACACGACGGAAATATTCTCCATCGGGTTTGACGGTCCATCCCAACGATTGTGCCAATGCCTGTGCTTCCATGGCACCGTAAATGGGACCGACGAATTTGGTAGGATTGGAAAATGCTTCATTGGAGGAGGAATCATCGACGACGACTTGTGTCAAAATGGGCACGGCACAACATCCCGCACTGGCCAGTGCTTGTGCCAGAACAAATCCAATCTGACCCATGGATTCGGCGCCTTTAGTTAAAAAGAAAACAGAAATGATAGGAAAAGGAAATGGAAAACAAACAAGGAGAGCAAGAATTATGAAAGTTAGAAACATGATCACAATCTCTTTCATCCAAGAGAAAACTGGAATTCTCCCAGGAAAGAAAATCATTTTTGCGATCCAAACAAACTCACCCAAAACATCCAACGTGGCGGCACTTCGTTCCAACGCCAATTCTCCTACTTGTGGTCCATTTCCATGCGTCAAAACGAGTTCGTGATCTCGTGCCAATTGCGTAATGGTGGGTGCCATATCGGCCGCTGCCTTGAGCATGTTTTCAATGGTCAATCGTTCTCCTCGTCGTTGCAAGGCATTTCCGCCAACGGCCACTACGATACGTTGGCGTTGCTTGGCAATGGCAGTGGGAGCATCGTCGGGATGAACCTCGTCGGCGGAATCGTCATCGGATGCTTGGCTGCTAAAGAAATTTTGTTGAATAGGAAAATTAGCAGTGGCGGTATAGACAGTGGGTCGACTGGTAGTGGCCAGAATGGTTCGGGCCGTAGTTTGACGCGCCAAAGCACGGGCTGCAAAGCGAGATACCAACATGTTCCTATTGCTCCTAGCTAGTAGTAATTTGTAGAAGTCAACAGAGGATTTCTTTGGAAGAGCAAAACAATAAATGGCCAGAACCAAAAACCTTGTCGTCGGTCGCTTTCCTGTTCCACTGAATGATATATGATTGAATCGAATCCGAGAGGCGTCAACTCCAAATTTCAAATGGTGCAGTTTCAGCCAATGGTTCTTTTGTTATCTGGGGTATATACCCTCAACATTATCTCTTTGATAAACTACATTATCATCTGTATACCCCTCCTAACTTCCACCACCTCCAAAGGTACCCTTCGTATGACGTCACCTTTCATCCATGGATTCTCGGAACCCTTGGATCTTCCGGATCTTTCTCGCAAATGCAGCCTACACAGCCACGAAGCCCATTGAATAGTCATCACGCTACCCACCCACATCATGCAACGGCAGGACTTCAAGAAGTACAGTACTTCGTAGAAACAAGCCACAGCAAGTACATGTACAAAATTGCATTTTCAGCTTATCCAACGCCGAAAGTCCAAGAAAACTGTGCTGGTAGGAGTTGACACCCCTCTGTAGTTTAGTTTTTGGTTTCTTTGCTTCTCACAATTTTCGGTTCGTCTCCATTCTTTTTGCTTTTTATTCAAGTTGCATTCTCATCCTACCAAAAATAAAATAAATAATTGACCATGTTGTTCACATCCACAGCCAGCCGTGTCTTGTTGAAGCACTCCTTCCAAAAGGCAACTACCACTGCCACTACTACGCGATGCCTGTCATCTACCCCCGCCAGCATCCAAAATGCCGTGGCATCCTTGAAGGGACAACATTTCATGTCCATTGATCAACTCTCCAAAGACGAACTCAACGGTCTCTTGGATCTGAGTCACCACTACAAGGCACAATACGACAGTGGATCCACGGACCAACCACTCAAGGGAGATTCCGTCAGTATGATTTTCCAAAAACGATCCACTCGTACCCGTGTCTCTACTGAAACCGGAATGAACAAACTCGGAGGTCACGCCCTCTTTTTGGGTCCTTCCGATATTCAACTCGGTGTCAATGAAAGCATGAAAGACACGGCTCTCGTCTTGTCGAGATTCAACAGTCTCATTTTGGCTCGGGTCTTTGCCCATTCCGATGTCACCGAATTGGCCGAACACTCTACCGTTCCCGTCATTAATGCCCTTTCGGACATGCATCATCCCCTGCAAACTTTGGCGGATATCATGGCCATGCAACAACATTTCGGTGCCGATCAACTCGAAGGAAAAACTGTCAGTTGGGTTGGTGACGGCAACAATGTCTTGCACGATCTCATGTTGGGATCGGCCATTTTGGGAATGAACGTGCAGATTGCAACTCCGACGGGATACGAACCCGATGCCACCATTCTGGCCAAAACCCAAGAGCTAGCCAATGCCAGTGGCAGTTCCGTCATGACCACCACCGTCGCCGACGAAGGAGTGGCGGGAGCACACGCCATTTTCACCGATACGTGGGTCAGTATGGGACAAGAAGAAGAAGCCGCCAAGCGATTGGCTGAATTCGAGGGATATCAGGTCAATAATGCCCTCATGGCCAAGGCCGATCCCAATGCTGTATTTTTGCATTGTCTGCCCCGACACCCCGAGGAAGTGCACGATGAAGTCTTTTACGGACCACAGAGTATTGTCTTTCCCGAAGCTGAAAACCGAATGTGGACCGTCATGGCCGTCATGGCGGCACAGTTGGGGAAGGTTTAGATTGGTACTCTACCGTAATGAAAAAGTGGAACGCTGTACAACGGTAAAGAGACTCATGCATTTTGCCAAGTGAACGCAACAAGGATGGCTGGAATGCACAAGCAAAATGCCAGATGAAGTCTTGAGAATGCATTGATAAATTAAAAAGAGCTTTTAGGTTGTACCGAACCAGAGAATAGTCGTCTTTTTACCATGCACATTTCAGATCCGGGTAGCCCGTGCGAACAAGAGCTTCGCTTTTCATAGCAGAACTGTGAAACGAAGAGGGAAACGTATCAGTACGAACGCCCATTGCCTCTCTTGCGAGCGGAGGGTGGGAAGCGAGGGATTACCTGAGAGGGCGCTGGCACGTATTGCAGGTGCTACTAGCTGGCTGGCTACCGGTTAGAGAGGGCCTGAGGCTCCTCATGCTACCTCCGGTGGTAGGGACACCCTTTATTCGTCTTGCTTGAAATAGAGAAACAAAAGTTTATTATTAATTAAGTACATGTATTCTGTTTCTGGAGTTTGGTGCTTTTGTTGATTTGTGTGAATTCATTTTGTTGGTTTTATAAGGTGTTGTGGTGTTGGTTCAGGCGGGCCCCAGACCACCCAGCTTTCCAGGAGGTTGTGTTCGAAAAACTTTAGTCATTTCTGGGTTGGATCTAGTCTGCAGCAGATGCTTCGGGGGCCACCAGCACTCTCTGCCCATCGCCGTTTATGTCCGCATCATCTGTTTTCAACTACATGTCTCGTGGTGGGGCTCCCGAGTCATCAAGTGGACCAGGAAGCTATTCTCGGCGTCATCAGGATCCTCCAACGTAACAGTGTGCTGGACAACAAATCCCATTTTCTCGTAGAATCGTCGGTTTCTTTCTCCAGCTTCCAAGTACATCGCTTGGTTCATCTTATCAGCCATATCATTCAGTTTTGCCATGAGTTCTTTGCCCATTCCTTGACCTTGATGGTCGGGAACCACGCCTACCATGTGGACAAACCAATGCTTTCCCTTTGGTCCATGCTCGAAATGCCACTGGTCACACTTTTCTTGAAAATTCTTTCCCAGTTTTTGTTCCATTCTCTTGAGGTCGGCCTTCCTGTCCGGAGATTTGAAGAGGTCCGGAACTTTTTCTTTGTGTACGAGCAGAAGACGCATGGTCGTGACAAGGTTTGCCCAACCCTCCCGTATTTTCTTGAATGGCTTCTTGCTGTTGTTTCTGTCATTGTCATACTCCACCACAGATGCCAGCGATTTGATATCACCATTGCCATTCTCCGAACAGATCTGAAAGCTTGGCTTCTGGATATCTTCATAGAGTGGATATGCCATCATGAATTGAAACAGCTGCACTCGTTCCTCTGGTTTGAACGAACAATGGCCAAAGCCCCAATCTAGGATCGGCTCTCCTCCAACAGTGTCTGTGCCAGCAAATGCTTCACCAAGGGCACAGCGCAGCTTGTCAGAATCTGCCTCCAAAGTCCACTTGCTGAGATTCTTGGGTGACGAACTTGACTTTTCCTCATTGCCATAGAGGGCTTGGTGGACGGTCAAAGTGCTATTGTGGGCCATCATCGTTCTTGACTAACTCAGTTTGTGCTTTGTTCTTTTTGGTTTCTTTGCTTTGCGTCTTATGGAAAGTACAAAATGCACTGCTCGACTCGAACAGATCTCCAACAACAACAAAAAGAATCTCTGGCTTTGGCTGTAAGCTTTGACTGCAAGATCTCCCAAAACTCTAATAAGTCTTGGTTCAGCCCTCATTCTTGGTTTGCTTCTTGGAGCCTCTTCTTACGTCTTGACAGATCCATGTAAATCCCAGAGCTATTGGCCAGCTAGCTACGACTGGAGAAGAGACAAGAATGAAACCCTCGAAGATACAAAGGCCGGCGCAGGAGTGATGAGGTACCAGTACAAGGGCGAGCTGGCAGAGGAGGAGCATTCGCAATGCTTTATCCTCCAGTGTTGGAGAGCCTGAGGGGCCAAATTAGCTATTCTGGGCCCTGCCATGATCAGATTTGAGGGAAAGCAGGCCTCTGTTACGTACTCTACATGTACATCTGATGGACGTGCTCTCAGAGTCTCAGTCAAACCTGCATTTTTAGGAGACGCTCAATTTCTGCTGCTGATACACGAAATGGCAAGAGGAAACCTGAACTAGATGATTTCCCTCATGGAGCTGAAGAGGAAACGAGGAAGGAGTCCTTTTAGATGGATATCCGGATTCATACTTTTATTATAGATTCCTAGAAGGGGTGCACCACGTGCTTCCAGCTTCGCTGCGCTGATGTTTTTGTTTTTTCCCTCCCTGCCCCATGAAGACAAGCCACTTCGGGTCTTGCTACTTACCTGAGCAAAGCGTTGGTCACAGCCAAGCTAGCTGGAAGCTCGTGCGCCATCCCCTCGGATTCCTTGGACGACTGCGGGCTCATGATTTAGGTTCATTGCTTTCTCGTGGGCATCAAAGTCGCCACAAACTATTGCATATGCAATAACGTACACAGGATAGTCCATAAAGTCGCCACTGTTCACAGAGTAAGTATGGCTGGTTTCTTTCTGACGCATCTCGCTCGACTGGAACAGCGGGAATGTGGTGGGGTCAATGTCCAAGATGTACACGGATGAATCCTCGCCCTCGCCTTCAATTTCCGTGAAATGTTCAGGGAGGCGACCAGCACCAACATGGGCGTACGTCTTTCGAAGCCAGAGGTGTGGTGATGCTTCAATCGACAAGATTGCTTCTTTGCCGCTGTATTCCAAGTTCAGGGTACCAAGGGTGTGTCCGACCTGGTGCTCGTGGTCAGCGTGGTCCTCGAGAGGTGCCTGCTCTTTACTCGAGCTGTGAGACACCAGATCCATCTCATACGCAAAGTCCGACGACGACAACGGACCGTTCGTCCAACCCCACAGGTACTTCGTGCTGCTATTGCTATTCTTGTCATTGTCCTGCTGCTGCATGAGTAGTTCGGTTGGCAGACCCAAGTCGAAAAAGCTGATGGAAACACGATTGCTGTGGTAGGCAAAAGCGGCTTGGCACTCGGCGCGTCCTTTGCCATTGCTTCCATTCAACTCCTCGACAAATCGCTCAGTTCCTTCTGCCTCCATTAAGCGACGTCGGGAACCGGCAGGGTCAACTTTTTGACTTGTTGCTGAATCTCCTGTTGTAGTAGGCGTCACGGGCGGTTTGGTCGCATTACGAGTCGTGGGCGTCGCATGGGTTGCAATGTCGGGACAGTCGCACCCAATCATGAAGTCAAAGTACCCATACCAGTTCTTGGTGGAGAGACCTGTATGTTCATAGGCAAACACATCCAGTTCGGTCCCAGGAACCAATTCTCCCTGTGCATTCAATTTCTCCACCGTGGAATGCGCCACAATGGACACCTGGTAGTCTTCGTTGCCAATGCAGTGATACTCCAAATCGACTTCAAAGAAGGCTTGTCGTTCGCCTTCCCAATCACAAGCAAAATGCTTGAATTTGCGTGTGTCAGGCAATCCCGTGACCCGTCTCTTGGGCATGGTGTCCAGAGTAGCTTCCTTGCCCTGTCCCACGTAGAGTTGATTCCTCATGAGCGCCCAATGCCGATTCGTTTCAAAGACGACATGGAGGACTTGACCAATAACGTGGACGCAGACCGATCCAATCGACTGTTGATAGCTAGTATTTGGAACAATTGCATGGCATTCCTCGTGACTGGTATCCTTGTCATTCTCAAGTCTAGGATTCTTGACGTAAGCCTTTGGGGTGTTGGGACAAACATCGGAAGTAGGTGCACTTGTAGGAGCACTTGTAGGCGCACTCGTGGGAGCACTGGTAGGTGGACTGGTGGGTGCCACAGTTTCTTCACATTCACACTCAATCGTCACATCGAACCACCCCATCCACTTGGGGCTGCCAGTTGGACTTGCAGTAGGTGTGCTTGTGGGAGATAAGGTGGGGGCACCAGTGGGGCCTCTAGTGGGTGTTCCAGTGGGACTGCCAGTTGGTTTGCTGGAAGGTTCAGTTGTTGGTGCCGATGTAGGATTAGCCGTTGTTGGCGGCCTAAAGAAGCCACGGTTTCGTTGAATGCCACTCTCAGAATCATCAAAAATTTGTGTATGATGTTGATGCTTCTGATAGGCATACGAATCCACTTTCTGGCCAGTCTGGGTGTTCCGTACCTTGACAAAGGCAATCACTTGCAATTGAGCCTTCCGAGCTTTACACATGATCTCTGTTTCATCAGCAGGAATGGAAATACGTGAGATACCAGTAGGGCTTCCTGTGGGCGAGACAGTAGGAGATGTGGTGGGTGCTCCCGTTGGGGATCTGGTTGGGGATCCTGTGGGTGATCCAGTCGGACTGCCAGTAGGGGATTTCGATGGACTGCCAGAAGGCGACCCAGACGGCTTGCTGGATGGCTCACTTGTTGGTTCCGATGTCGGATTAGCTGTTGTCGGCTGAGTAAAGAAGCCACGGTTTCGTTGAATGGTACTGCCATCACCACCCGAATCGGCCAGAAGATCGTCTGTACGTATGTAGGGAAAGGAATCCAAGTCCAAAGCATTGCTATCGCCAAGACGGGGAGCATTGTCTATGTCCTCTCCCAACCAAAGCTTGGTCTCCACCAGGGTCCAACCCTCCAATGCATCAACTGTCATGTGTAGGGCTCCCGATGTGGGATGTACATGCAAACAGACACTGCCCAGGGCGTCTTCATCATCATCGTATGAATACAAGTTTTGACAAACCTGGCCATTGTTGCTTTGATCAGGATGAAAGCAGAGTTCTCCGGTTGGGGCCATTGATGGTGACACTGAGGGAGCTGGGGAGTCTTCACATGCACAATTTATGGTCACATCAAACCATCCCATCCAGTCTGGAGGGGCTGTTGGGCTTCCAGTAGGTGTTCCTGTTGGGTATCCAGTAGGAGAAACCGTAGGGCTCTTCGTGGGAGATCCAGTTGGTCCGTTAGATGGCCCAGAAGATGGTTTGCTGGATGGCTCACTTGTTGGTTCCGATGTAGGATTGGCTGTTGTTGGTGCAGCAAAGAAGCCGCGGTTTCGTTGGATGCCATTCTCTGAATCGACAAAGACTTGAGTATTGTGCAGATTCTTTTGATACGCATAGGTATCCATTTTCTTGCCAGTCTTGGTGTTTTGTACTTCCACAAAGGCAATCACTTGCAACTTGGCCTTTCCAGCCTTACAGACAAAATCATCAGCTGGTATAGAAATATGTGTTGTGGGAGTGACAGTAGGGGATCCAGTGGGGGTTCCTGTTGGCGATCCTGTTGGCCCCCCAGTGGGTGAACCAGTTGGGCCCCCGGTGGGCGATCCTGTTGGACCGCTAGAAGGTGATCCACTTGGCTTGCTGGATGGTTCCGTGGTTGGCTCTGAGGTGGGATTTGCTGTTGTTGGTGCTTGGAAAAAGGCACGGTTTCGTTGAATGGTACTACCATCAACATCCGTATCAGCTAGAAGAGGAAAGGCATCTAAATCAAGAGCATTGCTGTCGGCTAGGCGGGGAGCATCTTCAATGTTCTCTCCCATCCAAATATTGGTCTTCAACAAAACGTAATCATCTGCAGAATCAACAGTCACGTGCATGGCTCCCGTAGTGGGATGAACATGCAGGCAAACGCTGCCCAAGGCATCTTCTTCTGCATCATAGCTGTACAAGTTCTGACAGACCTCACCATTGTTGCCGTTTTCGGGATAGAAACACTGTTCTCCTGTGGGTGCTTCAGAAGGGGGTTCCGTGGGAGCCGGGGTGTCTTCACATGCACAATTTATGGTCACATCGAACCATCCCATCCAATCTGGAGGGGCTGTTGGGCTTCCAGTAGGTGTTCCTGTTGGGTATCCAGTAGGAGAAACTGTAGGACTCTTCGTGGGAGATCCAGTTGGTCCGTTAGATGGCCCAGAAGATGGTTTGCTGGATGGCTCACTGGTTGGTTCCGATGTAGGATTGGCGGTTGTGGGTGTAGCAAAGAAGCCACGGTTTCGTTCAATGCCACTCTCTGAATCGACAAAGACTTGCGTATTGTGCAGGTTCTTTTGATAGGCGTAGGTATCCATTTTCTGTCCAGTCTTGGTGTTTTGTACTTCGACAAAGGCAATGACTTGCAACTTGGCCTTTCCAGCTTTACAGACAAAATCATCAGCTGGAATGGAAATCCGTGTGACACCAGCAGGGGATGCAGTGGGGGTTTCTGTAGGTGATCCAGTGGGGGCTCCTGTAGGCGATCCAGTTGGGCCCCCAGTGGGTGATCCTGTTGGACCGCTAGAAGGCGATCCACTTGGCTTGCTGGATGGTTCCGTGGTTGGCTCTGAGGTAGGATTGGCTGTTGTTGGCACCTGAAAAAAGGCACGGTTTCGTTGAATGGTACTACCGTCACCACCATCAGAATCCGCGAGAAGAGGAAAGGCATCCAAATCAAGAGCATTGCTGTCGGCTAGGCGGGGAGCGTCTTCAATGTTCTCTCCCATCCAAATATTGGTCTTCAACAAGACATAATCATCTGCAGCATCGACAGTCACGTGCATGGCTCCTGTAGTGGGATGAACATGCAGGCAAACGCTACCCAAAGCATCTTCCTCATCACTATAGGAGTACAAGTTTTGGCAGACCTCACCGTTGCTGCCATTTTCGGGATAGTAACAGAGTTCTCCAGTGGGTACTTCCGAAGGAAATAATGATGGGGCATCGGTGGGAGTCTGCGTGGGAGCATCCGAGGGAGTCGTCGAGGGATCTGCGGATGGTTCCGCCGAGGGATGGGCAGTTGGCTCAGTTGTTGGCTCCGAGGTTGGATTGGCCGTTGTTGGAACGCTAAAAGCGCCACGGTTTCGTTCCTCATCTTGGGCGACCACGGTTACCCCCAGAATGCCTACTAGTAAGAGGCTGACCCGCAGGATCAGTGGGCCTTTATTCAGCATTGTCATGCTTTTAAAAGGTCCCAATTCGAAAACGTCGATTCAAGCTCAATGCAACGGGCTTTGGTTGGATGCAGCTTGGTTGGCGGACTAACTGAGGCGAGTATCCGGTCCGATTCTACTTGGCAAAGACAATTAAGGAAAGGTCTTGCTTCAAAGGTCAGCTAAGCTCAGCCAGGATGGAAGCAAGGAATGATGGCGACGACCAAGGACCTGAGATAATAGATGCCAAAGACCTTCGATCACCTTGCACTTGCCGCAATGAAGACGTCGTCTACAAGAGCTTCTACCAGTTTGCATTGGAACACTGGTTGTTGCAAGCTGCTTCACAAGCAAGAAAAATGACTGGATCTGTTGCTGGGTTCCCATGCTGAACATTCAATATCCGTGTTGAAATATACTACATTGTGTTGGGTCGTATTGTTTTGCGCAGTTTCGAGCGTAGAATCAGGTGCTTTCTTCGATTATCTAGTAACTTTTTAGATTGTGCTCTGGGCCGGTCCGAACCACCATCCAAAGACACGTAATCTGTGTTGGAAGCGGCACCTCAAAGTCTTCCACATGGCCACAGTCATCAAGAATCATGCGAAATAGGGCCTGTTTATGCTGATCGGGGTTTGCTACAGACCACCCACCACCCAGCTCTCACCAGTTCGTTGATTTGCGTTCCCACGACCTCACCCTTACTAGCTATTGGTAGTCCGCTCTGGCTAGCTGACGCAGTAAAACCTGCACTGGTTCGTTCATAGTTGGCTCTAGCTAGAAACGAGGCGGCACTTAGCAAGCAGGATAGAAGGCTGGCTGGCTGGCTGTCCACTTGCTTTCAATGCTTTTGGCTGCTTCATTAGTCTGCTACAACAGCCGAGCTGAAAGATGGCTCTCTGATCTCTGTAGCTAGCTAGGTTGAGCTTTTATCGCTCAAGTCTAAAACCAGTCTTGCTTGCTTGAGCTCCCGGTGCCGGTCTACCCCAGGGCCAGACGCACGGCCATTCGGGTCGTTTGGCTGCCAGTGCCTCCCAGCAGGGGTCCCCCAAGCGCTTTGCTCTGTCCCTCTACACGAAAGTCAATCAGATAGAAAAGCAACTTCGGCGGAAACGCACGAGGGAAGAAAATGCGAGAGCTACGCAGCCAGCTAGCAAGTAGTAGTGAGCGATACCTTGCAGCAACAAATAAAAGAACAAAGATGGCTTGGAGGAACCTTTTTTAAAATTCAAGCCCTATCTAATCTATGGCCCCCGTGTTGGTCGGCAGTTTGTTGCCCCTGATACCAAGGGAGTCATCACTTTCGCTCTGTTTGCCTGGACTCCGACAACATCCAAGATAACTGTAAACCCCCAATTTGAATTGAAAACGAAATACATGTAAATCATCCCTCGATGTAAATAACTTCACATTTTGAGACAGCTAAGTTGTCAAAAATTTCCCACGGCATGCACCGTGGAACAGGGAAACAAGTCTGACTGATCCGCACCGTATCCCTTTGCTTGAGAAGACGAGAGGGAGCATGAAGTTGTCATACTTCATCTTTTAGCTAGCTAGTTCATACCATACGTTCCTCCTAACCAAGTTGGATAAAAGCCTGTTTGAAAGCACGGAAAAGCATGCTGCATCTTGGCAGGACCCGGCAGTCAGCCAGAATAAACGCCCCACTATCAGCATACCATAGGCTGCGCAGGGTACATACATGCTGCCAGTGTTGATCTTCCCGAGAGCCGCTAGCTAGGTCAGCTAATAGTCGAAGAGCTGCGTCGTACCGGTGGGTGCTCATGGTCCCATACCGTACTAGCCTCAAGAGCCAACAGAACCCTAAAGAAAGATACCCAACTGGCCCGAAAATGTCCCTGGAAAGCAAAGGTGCTTCTAGCTATCCCATTGGGATTCTCAAATGAATTGTGAGCATCTTGCGACCAGCTTTTGATTCGACCTGGTCTGTTCCTTTGGCCATCACCACAACACCTGGTAGCTTCCAGGTCCACATTATTTAGATCAAATGGCAAGAAACATTAAGAGCTTCCAATTGTATCATTTCGCAATGAAAGTATCTTGATTAAGTAAATTTTACTTAATCCAGTCACTCTTTGCTAAAATCGGATGAAAGTATCTTGCCAATTGATTTTGCTTTCATACTACGATTAAGTGAGAAACCTCTGTGACATTTTCGTGACGAGAGTATCTTTATTGTTTAGACAGATGAAAGTGTGAATCGCTAAATACTAAACTTACTTAGATGTATTTTACGTTCTGTGTTATCTCTGTGGTTTTGCACTTAGCAAGATTTGTTTCCCATGCTTTGAAACAGAGAAAAGATCTTTTTTGGTGCTTTTCTGGTACTTTAATTCCTGTAGGTTTCTACGGGATCTTTTTGACCGGAGATGGGTAGCTCTGGTAGCTGCCGGTTTACTTCTACCAACAAAGATGCCAATCAACGATCTGTTCGATGGATCAATCACAGTCAGTACCGTAGGCTACGGTACCGTATGGTACTAGTAGCTGCCAGATGCAAAGCTGGGCTCATTCTTTTGCTTCCATCGATTTGTTGCCTTTTTGTAGCTAACCATCAGCAAGTAGCAGACGAAGTCTTGTAGACGATTGATCTCTTAGCCCAAGATCAACCTCCGTCTACGATCCTTCTCTATCTCTTGCTCAACAACCCCTACAACAAGACAACCAACATCCCACCGCAGAGGTTTCGTTTCCGCATTACAGCCATCTATCATTTGATTAGAAGTGTTTGTATTGTGCCATCCAAAGCTTTTTTGTTTTGCCATTCTGCTGCTGTTTGTTTACGCTGTCAGACTGAACGCAAACGACGAACCAAAGAAAGAAGTGAATTGATCATCCTTCCGATTGAGTGATTTAGCCCGTCAATCAATCATCTACCAGTATCAATCAATTCCATCTTTCTCGACTTTTGTCACTCCCGTTCATTCCACCCAACAAACAACAACGTCAAGCAAGCAAACAAGCCCACAAGTCTGTATCAATCTTTGATTATACTACTGAACGACCGATATTGATCTACTAGCCCAAGATCACTATCAGCCCATCCGTCAGTAATCAATCAAGAACCATTTGTTCAGACCCTTTCGCACAAGCAAGCCAAGCAAGTCAAGTCAAGGCCAACGCCAAACTAGAAGACCAAACACCTCCGTTTGTTTTCATTTCAAGAGTCGATTTCCTTCTTTTTCTTCTACCCCTTCACATACATACATACCTACATCAAGTCGAAACTAGCCCCTTCGAGTTGACAACGTACGTACGTGAGATCCCCAGAAGAAAGCATACACAGAAAATCGAACATCAACCGTCTAGCCAACAGTTCCAGTTCGTTCCGTAGCGACAATCAAGCCCAACCGATTTCACCAAGAATAACCTTTCCTTTCAACTTTTCGATTCTAGCCCAATTCGATCCGTTGATACCTACTATTCTTTTTGAACTCATCCTGTCTCTACCAACAAACAAACAAGCACTGTACCTACAGTCTAGACCTACCCGAACAGAAAGCAAGCCTACCAGCAATACAAATCCAAGTGAATTTGCCGAATCAAGTCGAAACTAGCCCATTCGAATTGCCAAGACAAGTCCTACGAACGATCTAACAAGCAAGCAAGCAACAAAACAAAAGCAATCGCAATCGCCCAATAAAAGAAATCAAAATCAAGCATTCATTCAACAACAGCAACAAGATGAGTGCCAACAACGTTAACAACATGAAGAATATTAACAACAACAACAAAAACAACAAGACGAAAAGTGTCGTGAAGCTTCTCTTGGGGTTGATTTGGATGGCCGCCAACCTCCAAGTCACAGACGCCAAACCCAAGACTGGCAATTCCGACTACATGCCTGAAATCGTCCAGCCCTTTGATGCCAACCACCGTGCCTTAATGGAAATGCCCCCCGGTCATATCTGCATCGAAGGAAACAACAAGCACAAGCATAATATCAGGAGCAATGATAAGCGGCAGTGCCACTCCCTCCTGGCGGGGTACGGCCGCGACATGGACACGGGGAGTGTCTGTGTCGAACTCGTGAGCGATCCACCGCAGTTGAAGGTCACCTTTGAGACGACTGGAGACTGGGCGTTGGTTCGCAGTAAGTTCTGGGCCGGAAAGTCCATTGACAGCGTCCCGACCTTTATGGATACCAAGGAGATCGACCTCGAAGAATTTGACTACTTCTACTCGAACTACACTGGTTACAAGCGATGGGTCGCGACGGCAGCGTTGGAACAACGTTGCGGCGCTAATGGAGACGGCAAGAACAGCAAGAACGATCAAGATGATGATGGCGACGACGAAGACCACTTTCATGTGTCCATGGTGGCTCACGCCGAAGTGGAACAAGTCGATGCCTATGCTCATCTTATCCCAGGAACGCAGCAGGTTGCCTATGCCTACGACAAGACCGTCGACAGCGAGGACGAGTGGTACGGTTGGTTCGAGTTCAAGGTGAACTGCAAGTGCGAGGACACAACCAGCCAGCCAGAAGAAGAAGAAGAGAAAGCCAAGGAGTGTCCCGAACCGCACCATTTGGTCGTCCAGACTGCCCCCGAGCGTGAATGCCACACCATTGTGGCTGGAGCCGGGGAAATCAGTATGGCCGCTGGAACAGTGTGCGTCAAGATCGTCGACGAGAACGATTTGGATGTTACTTTCGAGGCTGCCAAAGGTTGGGCGTTGATCCGGAATGAACTCTGGGTCGGTGAAAACGGCGAAGGAATTGCCGACGTACCCATGCTGGCCTCCGGGTCATCTGTGGACACGGCCAAGTTCGATCACTTTGCCAATGACTGGGCAGGCGAACGCTCAGTGAACTTCAAGACCAGCCTCACCGTTGACTGCCATGCCGAACAAGAATATCGTATCACCGTGGTTGCCCATTCTACTGTTCAGCAGGTTGATGAGTTTGGAATGGTGATCCCCGGAACGGAACAAGATGTTTTTGCGTTTGAATGGTCCCGTGGCAGTGCCAAGGACCATACCTGGTACGGATGGGTTGACTTTGTTGTCGAGTGCATTTGCGCTGGGCAACCAACTCGTGCACCCACCACCATTGCACCCTCCAAGGCTCCCACATCCAAGCCAACAAACGAAGAGATTCCCATTGTCAGTGTCAAGGAAGGAGAATCCATTGAAGGCCCAATTGAACCCAAGGATGGCGAACGTTGTGGTTGTGGAGCGCCAGAGCCCACGCCTTGTCCTTGCAAGAAGGAAACTCCTTGTCCCTGCAAGAAGGAAACACCCTGTCCTTGCAAGAAGGAAACGCCCTGTCCTTGCAAGACTGAATCTCCTAATTGTGCTTGTAGCCAACCCAAGCCTGCCCCTCTTCCCTGTGGCTGTGCCATCTGTCCTTGCCCACCACCTGCGCCATGTTGCAGGACTCCAAGCCCAACTTGCGGGTGCATTACCCCAGGACCCACTCCAGAACCAACCCCTGGTCCAACTGAAAAGCCCACAGAGAACCCAACTCCAGAACCCACTCCTGGGCCGACCCAGACGGCCAAGCCAACTCCTCCTGGAAGAAGCCCCGTTTCTCCCCCAACACCTCAGCCCACCATCGGTCCAACACCGTCTCCAACCCCTGACAGCTGCAAGAAGATCAGAGTCATTGAAGCTGACAACTTTGAGAAGAAGCCAAATGATCCAAACTATGATGCTGATGAAGCTGCGAAGAAGTGGAATGGATCAATTGCACAAGATTCAGGGTTCACTAAATTCCTTGGACGGCTTGGTAGAGGGACGAATGAAGTGTCAAAGACATTCACAATCAGGCAAAGTGGACCTCCTGAGAATGAAGATGCATACAAGGCGACTTTTGGATTCTCAGTGTATCAAATCGACAGCTGGACTGCATCGTCAGACAAGTTTCTTGTGAAGATCAATGATGAGGTTTCAATCAACATTGGTGAAATGGACTCCAACAGTGACAGCAAGACTCTGAATGGCGATGTGTCAGGTATCATGTGGGAACGCACTACCTCAACGCAAGGCATCAACATTGGGTTTGGTGATGAAAAGGACAAAAAGCACTATGTGAAGCTTCAGATCCCCAAGAATCACATCAAGAATGGAAATACCATCAAGGTAACCTTCATTATTGAAACAGATAAGGAAATCTCAGAAGGAAGCGCTGGTGTTGACAACTATGAATTTATTGCCTACTACCATTGTGGCACTCCTGGACCAACTCCCTCTCCAACCACAACGCCCCCCTCCCCTGACACAACCCCAGCACCCACCCCAGGTGCACCAACGTCCATCCCAAGTGGTGTCCCAAGCAGGACACCAACATCAGTTCCATCACCACAACCCACCTTATCACCAACACAATTGTATTGTCAACCTGTAGTGGAGACAGTCAACCAGGATTTTGAAGGTGAAAAGGGGAAGAAGCAAGCAGAGAAATGGAGTGATGGAGATACTAAAGGTTCAACAGCCTTTGATAATGGGTTCACCACCTTCCTCGGGAAACTAGGACGAGGCAATGACAAGATGTACCTCGAAACTGACATTGTCCCCAAGGCTATCAATGGCGAAGGCGCCAAGTTTGAAGCGTACCAGACAACCGTGGAGTTTTCTTTGTACCAGATTGACAAATGGGAGAATTCTGATGACACAATCATCATTGATGTTGATGGTACAGATGTGGACCTCCAAGTGATGAAAGCTCCGACTGACCTCAACAAATTGAGTGGCAAGACCACCAACGGAATCACCTGGACCCGTCAGACCATTCAAGAGAACAGGAACATTGGCTTCTTGACTGACGATGACAAGAAGTACTCTGTGAAGATTGTCATTCCAGGAAGTCTCACCACCACCGACCACAAGATCAAGATTGGATTCAAGGTTTCTACCTCCAAGGATATCCAAGAACAAGGTGCTGGCGTGGATGATTACAAAGTCAAGGCCTACTACACATGTGCACCCACTCCTGTGCCAACTACACCTCCAACCATTGTTCCCTCTATTGCTCCATCTCCCCAAATCACATCACCACCAACACAATTGAACTGTCAACCTGTGATAGAAAACGTCAACCAAAGCTTTGAGGGTGACAGTGGAAACAACCAAGCTGAGAAGTGGAGCTTTGGAGATAAGAAAGGTTCCACTGCTGAAAGTGGCGGGTTCTCTAAGTTCCTGGGGAAGCTAGGTCAAGGCAATGACAAGATGTACCTCGAAACTGATATTGTCCCCAAGGCAATTGGTGGTAAAGGCCCTGAGTTTGAAGCGTACCAAACAACAGTGGAGTTTTCTTTGTACCAGATTGACAAGTGGGAGAATTCTGATGACACAATCATTGTTGATGTTGATGGCACAGATGTGGACCTCCAAGTGATGAAAGCTCCAACTAACCTCAACAAATTGAGTGGCAAGACCACCAACGGAATCACCTGGACCCGTCAGACCATTCAAGAGAACCTGAACATTGGCTTCTTGACTGACAATGACAAGAGGTACTCTGTGAAGATTGTCATCCCAGGAAGTATCATCCAAGACAACAAGATCAAGATTGGATTCAAGTCTTTACTCCAGGATATCCAAGAACAAGGTGCTGGTGTGGATGATTACAAAGTCAAGGCCTACTACACATGTGCACCCACTCCTGTGCCAACTACGCCTCCAACCATTGTTCCCTCTATTGCTCCATCACCCCAAATCACATCACCACCAACACAATTGAACTGTCAACCTGTGATAGAAAACGTCAACCAAAGCTTTGAGGGTGACAGTGGAAAGAAACAAGCTGAGAAGTGGAGCTTTGAAGATAAGAAAGGTTCCACTGCCGAAGGTGGTGGGTTCTCTAAGTTCCTGGGGAAGCTAGGTCAAGGCAATGACAAGATGTACCTCGAAACTGATATTGTCCCGAAGGCAATTGGTGGTAAAGGCCCTGGGTTTGAAGCGTACCAAACAACAGTGGAGTTTTCTTTGTACCAGATTGACAAGTGGGAGAATTCTGATGACACAATCATTGTTGATGTTGATGGTACAGATGTGGACCTCCAAGTGATGAAAGCTCCGACTGACCTCAACAAATTGAGTGGCAAGACCACCAACGGAATCACCTGGACCCGTCAGACCATTCAAGAGAACCTGAACATTGGCTTCTTGACTGACAATGACAAGAGGTACTCGGTGAAGATTGTCATCCCAGGAAGCATCATCCAAAACAACAAGATCAAGATTGGATTCAAGGTTTCTACCTCCAAGGATATCCAAGAACAAGGTGCTGGTGTGGATAATTACAAAGTCAAGGCCTATTACACTTGTGCACCCACTCCTGTGCCAACTACACCTCCAACCATCGTTCCCTCTATTGCGCCATCACCCAGGATTACCCAAAAGCCTACTACACTGTGCTGTCAACCTGTCGTGGACAAAGTATCTCAAGACTTTGAGGGTGACAGTGGAAAGAAACAAGCTGAGAAGTGGAGCTTTGGAGATAAGAAAGGCTCAACAGCTGAAGGTGGTGGGTTCACTAAGTTCCTTGGGAAACTGGGACAGGGCAATGACAAGATGTACCTTGAAACTGCAATCCCTGAGGAGTCAGAAGACTGTGTGGGCACCAAGTATAATGCATACAAAACCACTGTAGAGTTCTTCTTGTACCAGATTGACAAATGGGAGAATTCTGATGACACAATCATTGTTGATGTTGACGGCACAGATGTGGACCTCCAAGTGATGAAAGACCCAACCAGTCAGAACAAATTGAGTGGCAAGACCTCTAATGGAATCACATGGACCCGCGAGACCATTCAAGAGAACAGGAACATTGGCTTTCTTGGAGACAATGACAAGAAGTACTCTGTCAAGATTGTCATTCCAGGAAGTCTCACTAATGACTTGAAGCTCAAGATTGGATTCAAGGTTTCTGCCACGAACGAGATCACTCAGCAAAGTGCTGGTGTGGATGATTATGAAGTCAAGGCCTACTACACATGTGCACCGTCACCTGTGCCAACCACCCTTCCAAGCACAGTTCCCTCCGCTGCTCCTTCACCCCCAGTCACACCAAAGCCCAGTATTCTGTGTTGTCAGCCAGTCATTGACAGAGTTGATCAAAACTTTGAAGGTGAGGAAGGGAAGAAACAAGCCGAGAAATGGAGTAATGGAGACAAGAAAGGGTCAACAGCTGGAGGTGGATTGCTCGCCAATATCCGCAACAAACTTGGACTAGGCAATGAGAAGAATCAACCTGAGAAATTGAGTGATGGAGATACAAAAGCGTTGACAGCACAAGGTGGTGGGTTCACCACATTTCTAGGAAAATTTGGCCAGGGAAATGATAAAATGTGCCTGGAAACTTCAATACCGGCTGAGGCAGATGACTGTAAGGACCCCAAGTATGATGCATACAAGACAACTGTGGAGTTTTCTTTGTACCAGATTGACAAATGGGAGAGTTCTGATGATGCAATCATTGTTGTCCTTGACGGTACAGAGGTTAACCTCCAAGTGATGAAAGACCCAACCAGTCAGAACAAATTGAGTGGCAAGACTTCAAATGGAATTACTTGGATTCGTGAAACCATTCAAGAGAGGAACATCGGCTTCTTGGATGATGAGGACAAGAAGTACTATGTCAAACTGACCATCCCAGGAAGCCTAACGGAAAAAGACAAGAAGATTGAGGTATGTTTCAAGGTTTCTGCCTCCAAGGATATCAAAGAACAAAGTGCTGGTGTGGATGATTACAAAGTCAAGGCATACTACACATGTGCACCATCACCAGTGCCAACCACACCTCCAAGCTCTGCACCTTCAGCTTCTCCAAGCAAACCAAGCTACTCCCCAAGCAGCCCTTCATCAATGCAGCCTTCTCCAATATCAGATGTACCCACTGGAAGCCCAAGCAGATCACCGTCATCCCCTCCATCAAGAGTCCCTTCTGAAAGTCCAAGCAAATCCTCCGACTCCCCAACTGAGAGCCCTAGTGAAGCTCCAAGTGAACCCCCAAGCAAACAAAGCTCCTCCCCAAGCAGGCCTTCTTCAATGCAGCCTTCTCCAATATCAGATGTACCCACTGGAAGCCCAAGCAGATCACCGTCACCCCCTCCATCAAGAGTCCCTTCTGAAAGTCCAAGCAGATCTTCGGATGCCCCAACTGAGAGCCCTAGTGAAGCTCCAAGTGATGCTCCAAGTGAAGCCCCCAGCGACGCCCCCAGTGAAGCCCCAAGCGAAGTCCCCAGCGAAGCACCAAGTGAAGCACCAAGTGAAGCACCAAGTAATTATAGTACTTCACCAACCAGCCCACCAACACCGGAGCCACCCTCATTCCCACCCTCATCTGTACCATCTGAGAGTCCCAGCATACCACCTTCCAAAACCCCATCTGTACCACCCTCAAGACCCCCCACCACATCCCCGTCTACACCTCCTTCAAGGTCACCCACAAAATATCCATCAATGCCACCAAGCAGCTTGCCTTCCTCTGCCTACCCTAGTGCCCCACCCACAGAATTACCATCAACACCGCCATCTGATACACCGAGCCGGCCACCCTCCATTCCGCCGAGTGACACCCCAACGCACAGTCCAAGCTTGCCTCCAAGTGAAACTCCAACAACATCCCCATCTATTGAGCCAAGTGAAAGTCCATCAAACCCACCATCCTTGAAGCCTTCAGAGGAACCATCATCTCCACCATCAGAGGTACCTACAAGAACTCCAAGTGCTCCACCCAGTCAAACACCCAGTATCCCTCCATCTTCCCCACCTACACCAACTCCCAGCAAACCTCCAACTACTCCGCCATCTGATATACCATCACAAATTCCCAGTGCTCCACCAAGCGATAACCCACAACACCACCATCAGAAAAACCATCAAAAGAACCAACTACACCCCCATCAGATGTCCCAACCCCTAGCCCTAGTTCACCACCAAGTGAAACTCCATCAATCCCACCATCCTTAAAGCCTTCAGAGAAGCCCTCATCTCCACCATCAGAGGTACCAACGAGAACTCCCAGTGCTCCACCCAGTCAAACTCCCAGTATCCCTCCATCAATACTGCCCACACCATCCCCCAGTACTCCACCGAGTCAAACACCAAGTATCCCACCTTCTGCAAGGCCTTCAGTAAACCCATCTTTACCACCATCTGAAGAGCCAACCAAGAGCCCAAGTGCTCCTCCAAGCATACTCCCAACTCCATCTCCATCCTCCACACCTTCAGAGGTTCCTTCAGTGCCTCCATCAATCATGCCCACAACGCCACCAAGTTCTCCGCCCAGTGAATCACCCAGTATTCCACCCAGTAGGACGCCATCTGAAAACCCCTCGACACCACCATCAATTCTGCCCACTAAGACTCCTAGCTCACCACCCAGTGAATTACCCACTATTCCTCCCAGTAGAATGCCATCTGAAAAGCCTTCCACACAGCCTTCTGATGTGCCAACTACACCCCCAAGTCCTCCGCCGAAGCAAACCTCCCAGCACACCACCCAGTTGGACGCCAACTGAGACTCCAAGTTCACCCCCAGTGAAATACCCACTATTCCTCCCAGTAGGATGCCATCTGAAAAGCCTTCAACACAGCCTTCTGATGTGCCGACTACTCCCCCAAGTAATCCACCAAGCAAATCTCCCAGCACACCACCCAGTAGGACGCCATCTGAGAGTCCAAGTTTGCTGCCGAGTGAATCACCCAGCATTCCACCCAGTGAGATGCCATCCAAAAAGCCGTCAACACAGCCTTCTGATGTGCCAACTACTCCCCCAAGTAATCCACCAAGCAAGACTCCCAGCACACCACCCAGTAGAGCGCCATCTGAGAGTCCAAGTTTACTGCCCAGTGAATCACCCAGCATTCCACCCAGCACGATGCCATCCGAAAAGCCGTCAACACAGCCTTCTGACGTGCCAACTACCCCCCCAAGTAATCCACCAAGCAAGACTCCCAGCACACCACCGAGTAGGACGCCATCTGAGACTCCAAGTTTACTGCCCAGTGAATCACCCAGTATTCCACCCAGTAGGATGCCATCCGAAAAGCCCTCAACGCAGCCCTCTGATGTGCCAACTACCCCTCCAAGTTCTCCACCAAGCAAAACTCCCAGCACACCACCCAGTAGGATGCCATCCGAAAAGCCCTCAACGCAGCCCTCTGATGTGCCAACTACCCCTCCAAGTTCTCCACCAAGCAAAACTCCCAGCACACCACCCAGTACGATGCCATCTGAGACGCCTTCAACACAGCCATCTGATGTGCCCACTACCCCCCCAAGTTCTCCACCAAGCGATCAGCCAAGCACTCCACCCAGTCTAAAACCATCGGAGAAACCATCAACACCACCATCAGTCACGCCCTCAAATACTCCTAGTTCTCCCCCAAGTGAATCGCCGAGTTCACCACCCTCGTCGCCGCCATCTGAGAAACCATCAACACAGCCTTCGACACCCCCGACTACTACCCCAAGTTCTCCGCCAAGCAAAACTCCAAGCACACCACCGAGCAGAACGCCATCTGAGACTCCAAGTTTACCACCCAGTGAATCACCCAGTATTCCTCCCAGTAGGATACCATCTGAGAAACCATCAACACCACCATCTGATACCCCCTCAGTGAAACCTAGTTCGCCTCCAAGCGATCAGCCAAGCACTCCACCCAGTCTAAAACCATCGGAGAAACCATCAACACCACCATCAGTCACGCCCTCGAATACTCCTAGTTCCCCCCCAAGTGAATCGCCAAGTTCGCCACCCTCGTCGCCGCCATCTGAAAAGCCTTCAACACAGCCTTCGACACCCCCGACTACTCCCCCAAGTTCTCCGCCAAGCAAAACTCCAAGCACACCACCGAGCAGAACGCCATCTGAGACTCCAAGTTTACCACCCAGTGAATCACCCAGTATGCCTCCCAGTAGGATGCCATCTGAGAAACCATCAACACCACCATCTGAAGCCCCCTCTGTGAAACCCAGTTCACCTCCTAGTGACCAGCCAAGCACTCCACCATCACCAAGACCATCAGAGGACCCATCATCTCCTCCGTCCTATGTGCCAACTGTTGCCCCCAGCTCGCCACCAAGTGAAGTTCCAAGTGAAACACCAACTGTGGACCCAAGTCCAGTTCCTTCTGAAGCCCCATCAGTTGAACCCTCTTTACCACCTTCATCTAGGCCATCAGAAATTCCTAGCATGCCACCAAGCAATGTGCCAAGCACACCACCCTCAGTCATCCCCTCAGAAGAACCTTCTTCTCCACCATCGCACATGCCATCAGAAATCCCCAGTTCCCCTCCTAGTAAGAAACCAAGCACACCACCATCACTGAGTCCCTCAGAGGTGCCATCGTCACCACCATCATACTTGCCGTCAGAATCGCCCAGTTCTCCTCCAAGCACCCTGCCAAGCAACCCGCCATCACAGATGCCATCAGAAAAACCATCCTCCCACCCTCAGTTGCACCATCCCATCCCACCCTGACCCATCAGAAACCCCGTCAACTCCTCCCTCATCCCCACCAACTCCAATCCCAACACCTACCCATCCGAGACACCATCAACCCCTCCATCAGCACCACCATCAACCCCTCCATCAGCACCACCATCGGATACACCATCATCTCCACCAAGTAGACCACCTACTGTCCCACCAACTCCAATTCCTAGTGAGACTCCAAGTGACACACCCTCAACCGTTCCAACACCCAGTCCTTCTGAAACACCCTCTGAGGTTCCCTCAACTGTTCCTTCTCCAATTCCAACCACACCACCAACACCAAACCCAAGTGAGGTTCCAAGTGATACTCCCTCTCATATTCCATCACCTGTTCCTTCGATCCAACCTAGTGAAAATCCCAGTACTCACCCAACTCCTGTCCCAACACATGAGCCATCAGAGACACCATCAGAGACACCATCAATCCCTCCATCATTGCCACCAACTCCAAACCCCACACCAAACCCATCAGAGACACCATCTACTCCCCCATCTCCCCACCATCAACCCCACCATCCTCTCCACCATCTGATACCCATCATCTCCACCTAGCAAACCACCAACAATCCACCCACCCCAATCCTAGTGAGACCCCAGTGACACACCATCAACACTACCAACAATCCCACCCACTCCAAATCCAAGTGAGACCCCCAGTGAGACACCATCAACACTCCCAACACCAAGTCCATCAGAGACTCCTTCAGTTGTTCCTTCTAGTGTTCCTTCTCCTATTCCCACCACACCACCAACGCCTATCCCCAGTGAGACCCCAAGTGATACTCCCTCTGAGGTCCCCTCTTATGTACCTACACCAAGTCCAAGTGAGGTACCAAGTGACACTCCCACAACTGTTCCAACCCCCACTCCCTCAAGGACACCTAGTGATGTTCCCAGTATGCCTCCAACTCCAGTCCCTACCCCCAACCCATCTGAAACCCCATCAGTTCCTCCATCGTCTCCTCCATCTTGGCAACCGTCTGTAGTGCCATCAATTCCACCGTCTAGAATGCCCACTTTACACCCAAGTATCCCTCCAAGTTCAATCCCATCAGATACACCAACAATTCCACCAACAACTCCACCTTCGGAGCGCCCAAGTGAAAGGCCATCAAATGATCCGACTAGGTTGCCATCATATTCTCCATCAGAGCCACCCTCAGAGGAGCCATCTGTCCAACCTTCCATTCAACCATCCCAGCCACCCACACCTCATCCGTCCATACCACCTTCAATTTCCCCTTCCATACCACCATCTAAACCCCCAACAACAAGTCCATCCATCCCACCTTCAATTTCCCCTTCCATACCGCCCTCAAAACTCCCAACAACACCCCCATCTGTACCGCCCAGCAGCTCACCTTCATCTGACCATCCAAGTGTCCCACCATCAGTGGAACCATCAACATCTCCATCAGATCCTCCTAGTGGCATTCCATCAGTGATACCGTCCATGGTTCCAAGTGAAGTACCAACAAGTGACCCATCAATTGAACCCACAGGAACCCCAAGCCAGTATCCTTCAACTGTCCCTAGCGAGCCCCCTAGCAAGATGCCAACAGCCCCACCATCATCTCCACCTAGTAGACAACCTACTATTCCACCAACCCCAAATCCAAGTGAGACTCCCAGCGAAATTCCCTCTGAAGTTCCCTCAAGTGTTCCTACTCCAGTTCCCACTACACCGCCAACACCCAGCCCCAGTGAACGCCCTTCTCTAGTGCCTTCTTATGTGCCCTCTCATATACCCACACCCACTCCAAGTGAGGTCCCAAGTGAAACCCCCTCAACTGAGCCATCACATGTTCCTTCAATCCCACCAAGTAATGTTCCCAGTACCCCACCAACTCCAATTCCAACTCCAATTCCATCAGAAAAGAAACTCCCTCGATGTGCCAACTGAAATGCCATCAGAGACCCCATCCTTGATACCCAGTGAGAGCCCTTCAGACACCCAACAATCCACCAACCCCAACCCAGTGAGATCCCAAGCAACACACCGTCTACAGTTCCAACACCAAGTCCATCAGAAACACCTTCTGATGCTCCCTCAAGGGTTCCTTCTCCTATCCCCACGACACCACCAACCCAACCCCCAGTGAAACACCAAGCACAATGCCTTCTGATGTGCCTTCGTATGTACCCACACCGAGTCCAAGTGAGGTGCCAAGTGAGACCCCTACAACTGATCCATCACCTATTCCTTCCATCCCACCAAGTGATGTTCCTAGCACCACACCAACTCCAATCCCAACTCCAAATCCATCAGAGACCCCATCAACCCCTCCATCAGAAAAACCATCAACACGTCCATCGGAAACACCATCAACACCTCCATCAGCACCACCATCTGATATCCCATCATCTCCACCTAGTAGACCACCTACTACCCCACCCACCCCTAATCCCAGTGAGACCCCCAGCGAAACACCTCAACAGTTCCAACACCAAGTCCTTCTGAAACACCATCTGAGGTGCCTTCTCGTGTTCCTTCTCCTATTCCCACCACACACCAACACCTACCCCAGTGAGGTCCAAGTGATGACTCCCTCTAGCATCCGTCACCTGTTCCTTCGATCCCACCTAGTGAAATGCCCAGTACACTCCCGACTCCAGTCCCAACACCAAACCCATCCGAGACACCATCAATCCCTCCATCATCTCCACCAACTCCAGTCCCTACACCTAACCCATCAGAGACCCCATCAACTCCTCCATCGTCCCCACCACACCTGATCCTTCATACCACCATCTGATACACCATCATCTCCAAAGTAGACCACCCACTGTCCACCAACTCCAATTCCTAGTGAGACTCCAGCGACACCCCTCAACGGTTCCACACCAAGTCCTTCTGAAACCCATCTGAGGTGCCTTCAAGTGTTCCTTCCACAATTCCAACCACACCGCCAACACCCAACCCCAGTGAACCCCCTTCAAGAACTCCCTCTGATGTCCCCTCATATGTACCCACTCCCACTCCCAGTGAGCTGCCAAGTGAGACCCCCACAACTGTTCCTTCGCCAATACCCACCACCCCACCAAGTGAGCCCCCATCACTGATTCCTTCGAACACACCCAGTGTTGTTCCGAGTAGCCCACCAACCCCAATCCCAACCCCTGATCCATCAGAGACCCCCTCAATTTCTCCATCCATCCTGCCATCAACTCCTCCATCAGCACCACCATCTGAAGTGCCATCATCCCCCCCCAGCAAGCCACCTACCATCCCACCCACCCAATCCAGTGAGACCCCGCGACACACCATCACAGTGCCAACACCTAGTCCATCAGAGACACCATCTGAAGTTCCTTCTAGAGTTCCTTCTCATGTTCCTACTGAGACCCCCAGCGACACACCATCAACAGTGCCAACACCTAGTCCATCAGAGACACCATCTGAAGTTCCTTCTAGAGTTCCTTCTCATGTTCCTACGACACCACCAACGCCCAACCCAAGTGAAATTCCAAGCGAGACTCCATCTTTGTATCCATCTCCTGTTCCTTCACGCCCACCAAGCGATGTCCCCAGTACCCGGCCAACACCCGTTCCATCCCCAATCCCATCAGAGACGCCATCAACACCTCCATCCTTCCTACCATCAACTCCTCCATCAGCACCACCATCTGAGGTGCCATCATCTCCCCCCAGCCAACCACCTACCATCCCACCCACCCCAATCCAGTGAGACCCCCAGTGACACTCCATCACAGTTCCTACCCCAAGTCCATCAGAAACACCCTCTGAAGTTCCTTCAATGTCTCCATCGATTCTACCTACGACCCCACCGACCCCAACCCAGTGAAACACCAAGCACAGTGCCTTCTGATGTGCCTTCCTATGTACCCACGCCGAGTCCTAGTGAGGTTCCTAGTGAAACTCCATCAGTGTATCCATCAACTGTTCCTTCAACGCCTCCATCATCTCCACCATCCGATATCCCATCATCTCCACCTAGTATGCCTCCTACTACCCCACCTACTCCAATATCCAGTGAGACCCCCAGTGAAACACCTACAACAGTTCCAACACCAAGTCCATCTGAAACTCCATCAGAAGTGCCTTCAATGACTCCATCAATTCTACCTACGACTCCACCAACCCAAAACCCCAGTGAAACACCAAAGCAAGTGCCTTCTGATGTGCCTTCGTATGTACCCACGCCTAGCCCAAGTGAGGTGCCAAGTGACACCCCTACTACTGATCCGTCACCGGTTCCTTCCAGCCAACCTAGTGAAAATCCCAGTACTCTACCAACGCCAATTCCAACTCCAAATCCATCAGAGAGTCCATCAATCCCACCATCATCACCACCAACAACTCATCCTTCAGCACCGCCATCTGAAATACCATCCATCTCCCCCAAGTAAACCACCTACTATTCCACCTACTCCTAACCCAAGTGAGACCCCCAGTGACACACCATCAACAGTTCCAACACCAAGTCCATCAGAAACACCCTCAGAAGTGCCTTCAATGCCGCCATCGGTTCTACCTACGAGCCCACCAACCCCAAACCCCAGTGAAACACCAAGCACAGTGCCTTCCGATGTGCCTTCGTATGTACCCACACCAAGTCCTAGTGAGGTGCCAAGTGATACCCCTACTACTGATCCGTCACCTGTTCCTTCCAGTCCACCTAGTGAAAATCCCAGTACCCTACCAACACCAATCCCAACTCCAAATCCATCAGAGAGTCCATCAATCCCACCATCATCACCACCAACAACTCATCCTTCAGCACCGCCATCTGAAATACCATCATCTCCCCCAAGTAAACCACCTACTATTCCACCTACTCCTAACCCAAGTGAGACCCCCAGTGACACACCATCAACAGTTCCAACACCAAGTCCATCAGAAACTCCTCAGAAGTGCCTTCAATGCCGCCATCGGTTCTACCTACGACCCACCAACCCCAAACCCCAGTGAAACACCAAGCACAGTGCCTTCTGATGTGCCTTCGTATGTACCCACACCAAGTCCTAGTGAGGTGCCAAGTGACACCCCTACTACTGATCCGTCACCTGTTCCTTCCAGCCCCTAGTGAAAATCCCAGTACCCTACCACACCACATCCCAACTCCAATCCATCAGAGACGCCTTCAACTCTTCCATCACCAATCCCCACACACCACCCACTCCCATACCTTCTGAGCCCCCTTCTGTGAGTCCAAGCCAGGTTCCGTCTGAATCGCCAAGCACCCCCCCAACCCCCAGCCCAAGTGAGACACCCAGTGAGATACCAACAACTGACCCCACCCCAATTCCTTCGGAGACACCATCAAGTGTTCCTTCGTCCATCCCATCTGAGTGGCCAACAGTGCCACCAACCACGCCCCCGTCGGAGTCACCCTCCACTGTACCCTCGGTTCCACCTTCAGAGCCCCCTACAGTTATGCCCACACCTGTCCCATCACAACCACCTAGTGAGCCTCCCAGTGTGATCCCTAGTGAACCACCCACTACAGATCCCACTGTACCTCCATCAAGGCCACCATCAGTCAGTCCATCCACTCCCCCATCATGGATACCGACCCCTTTCCCAAGCATCCCCCCAAGCTCAACACCATCCATTCCACCTTCATGGCTTCCACTCCTCTTCCCAGCATTCCACCTTCAATCTTCCATCTATACCACCATCAGAACCGCCAACTCCACACCCGTCTATACCACCTAGCAGCACGCCGTCTTCTGATCACCCAAGCAGCACGCCTTCATCACCATCCCTCGTTGCCACCAAGCAATGTACCCAGTGACGATCCCACAAGGGACCCCTCAATGCCACCATCAGTTCATCCTACCCCGAACCCATCTGATATTCCCAGTGAGCCACCCTCCTCACCACCAAGTGAGCCTCCTACTGGAAAGCCAACCCCAATCCCATCAGAAACTCCATCCAGCCCACCAACACCAATCCCATCAGAGACCCCTTCAACACCTCCCACCCAAAGCCCAAGTGAGACTCCTTCAGAGATACCAACAACTGATCCAACCCCTATCCCATCAGAGCCACCTACAACTTTGCCAACTCCAAATCCATCGGAAACTCCCTCAGATGAACCAACTCAAAAGCCATCAGAAACACCATCTTGGATGCCCAGTGAAAACCCTTCAGAACCACCTACAACGCCACCAACAAACCCTCCTAGCGTACCTCCCAGTCATCCACCATCCACTGATCTTCACGAACTCCTTCGGAGACCCCCTCTTATGTGCCATCTAGTGTACCTTCGCCTATCCCAACTACTCCTCCAACACCAAGCCCAAGTGAAACCCCAAGTGAGATCCCCACAACTGATCCATCACCTGTTCCCTCAAGCCCACCAAGTGATGTTCCCAGTACCCCACCTTCTCCAGTCCCAACCACAAACCCATCAGAAACCCCATCAATCCCTCCCTCATCTCCACCAACACCAGTTCCAACACCCAACCCATCAGAGACTCATCCTCCACCATCATCCACCACCAACAACCCTACCTTCAAATCCACCATCTGAAACACCTTCAATTCCACCAAGTAGCCCACCAACAATCCCACCCACCCCAAATCCCAGTGATACCCCCAGTGACAATCCATCAACTGTGCCTACTCCGAGTCCATCGGAAACACCATCTGAAATTCCCTCAACTCCTCCTTCCCCAATTCCCACGACACCACCAACACCCAATCCTAGTGACCCCCCTCAAGAACACCCTCGAATGTCCCCTCATTTATGCCAACTCCGAGTCCGAGTGAGGTTCCAAGTGAGACTCCCACAACTGTCCATCACCAATTCCCTCACGACCACCAAGTAACGTTCCCAGTACTCTCCCAACTCCATCCCAACACCAAACCCATCTGAGAGTCCTTCAATCCCTCCTTCATTCCCACCCACCACACCACCATCATCCCCGCCATCAGAAATACCATCAACTCCACCGAGTAGACCACCCACTATCCCACCCACTCCAATCCCCAGTCAGGTCCCAAGCGATACTCCATCAACCGTACCAACTCCCAGTCCATCAGAAACACCGTCTACTGTGCCCTCACGTGTTCCTTCTCTAGTTCCGAGCACTCCACCCACACCGAGCCCTAGTGAGGTTCCAAGTGACACTCCAACAATTGATCCTTCACCTGTTCCTTCGATCCCACCAAGTGATGTACCCAGTAATCCCCCAACACCAATACCTACCCCGAACCCATCTGAGACTCCGTCAACTCCACCGAGTAGACCACCTACGATCCCACCCACCCCACATCCAGTGAGACCCCCAGTGAGACACCATCAACACTGCCAACACCAAGCCCATCAGAAACTCCTTCTGATAATCCTTCCAGTGTTCCTTCTCCTATTCCACCCACAACCACGCCCACCCCAGTGAGACCCCCAGCGAATCTCCTCTCTGTTCCATCACTTGTTCCTCAAGCCCACCAGTGATGTTCCCAGTACCCCACCATCACCAGTCCCAACGCCTGACCCATCGGAAACACCATCAATCCCTCCCTCATCCCCGCCAACTCCAATCCCTACACCTTACCCATCTGAGACACCATCAACACTCCTCCATCCTCCCACCATCACCACCAACCGACATCAGAATCCATCACTCCTCATCTCACCACCAACACCGGATCCTTCAGCACCACCATCTGATACACCATCATCTCCCCCAAGTAGACCACCACTGTACCACCAACTCCAATTCCTAGTGAGACTCCAAGGACACCCTCAACGGTTCCGACACCAGTCCTTCTGAAACACCATCGAGGCGCCCTCAAGGTTCCTTCCACAAATCCAACCACACCGCCAACACCCGACCCAAGTGAGGTACCAAGTGATACTCCCTCTAGCATTCCGTCACCTGTTCCTTCGATCCCACCTAGTGAAATGCCCAGTACACTCCCGACTCCAGTCCCAACACCAAACCCACCGAGACCCATCAATCCCTAATCACTAAACCAACTCCATCCCTACACCTAACCCATCGAGACCCATCAACTCCTCCATCATCCCCACCAACACCAGATCCTTCAGCACCACCATCTGATACACCATCATCTCCCCCAAGTAGACCACCCACTGTCCCACCAACTCCAATTCCTAGTGAGACTCCAAGCGACACACCCTCAACGGTTCCCACACCAAGTCCTTCTGAAACACCATCTGAGGTGCCTTCAAGTGTTCCTTCCACAATTCCAACCACACCGCCAACACCCAACCCAAGTGAGGTCCCCAGTGAGATTCCCTCAGATGTCCCCTCTTATATACCCACTCCCAGTCCTAGCGAGGTACCAAGTGAGACTCCCACAACCGACCCATCACCAATTCCCTCCAGCCCACCAAGTGATATTCCATCACCTGTTCCTTCGAGTCCACCCAGTGATGTTCCCAGTACTCTTCCTACACCAATCCCAACACCATACCCATCACAGACCCCATCGACTCCTCCATCCTCCCAACCATCAACCCCACCATCAATACCACCATCCGATGTGCCATCGACTAACCCGAGTGAACCACCTACCATCCCACCCACTCCAATTCCAAGTGAGACCCCCAGTGACACACCATCAACACTGCCAACACCAAGTCCATCAGAGACTCCTTCTGTTGTTCCTTCTAGTGTTCCTTCTCCTATTCCCACCACACCACCAACGCCTAGCCCCAGTGAGGCCCCAAGTGAGACTCCCTCTACTGTTCCATCACCTGTTCCTTCGAGTCCACCAAGTGATGTTCCCAGTACTCTCCCAACACCTAGTCCATCAGAGTCCCCATCAAATCCTCCGACATCACCTCCAACACCGGATCCTTCTGAACCCCCATCTGAAATCCCATCGACTCCACCAAGTAGACCACCTACCATCCCACCCACCCCAAATCCTAGTGAGACCCCCAGTGAAATACCATCGACGCTTCCAACACCAAGTCCATCAGAAACGCCATCTGTTATTCCATCAAATGTCCCTTCTCCAGTTCCCACCACACCGCCTACACCTATCCCAAGTGAGCCCCCTAGTGATACTCCCTCTTTGAATCCATCACCTGTACCTTCAAGCCCACCTAGTGAAAAACCTAGTACACTACCAACACCAATCCCAACTCCAAATCCATCAGAGACGCCTTCAACTCCTCCATCGCCACCAACTCCAACTCCATCAGAAACTCCCTCAGAAGAGCCTTCGACGTTTCCTTCGATTCCACCTACAACCCAACCAACCCCATCCCCAGTGAACGTCCATCAGAAATCCCCTCTGATACTCCCACTACTCCTCCAACACCAAGCCCAGTGAACCCCAAGTGAGATCCCACAACTGATCCATCACCTGTTCCCTCAAGCCCACCAAGTGATGTTCCCAGTACCCCACCTTCTCCAGTCCCAACCCCACACCCATCAGAAACCCCATCAATCCCTCCCTCTTCACTGCCAACACCAAATCCCTCAACACCACCATCTGAAGAGCCCTCATCGCCACCTAGCAGACCACCTACAATCCCACCCACCCCAAATCCAAGTCAGACACCCAGCGAGACACCATCAACATTGCCAACACCAAGTCCATCAGAGACTTCTGTTGTTCCTTCTATGTTCCTTCGCCAATTCCACCACACCACCAACACCCACCCCAGTGAACTCCTTCCACATTCCATCTGATACTCCATCTTGGTGGCCCACACCTAGCCCAGCGAGGTTCCCTCAACAAGCCAAGTGATATTCCATACCCCACCATCACCAGTCCCCACCCCTGACCCGTCAGAAACACCATCAATCCCTCCCTCATCCCCACCAAGTCCAATCCCTACACCTGACCCATCAGAGAGTCCTTCAATCCCTCCGTCATCACCACCCACAACCCCACCTTCAAACACCCTCTGAAACACCTTCAACTCCACCAAGTAGCCCACCTACTGTCCCACCAACTCCAATTCCTAGTGAGGCTCCAAGTGACACGCCCTCAACAGTTCCGACACCAAGTCCTTCTGAAACACCGTCTGAGGTGCCCTCAAGTGTTCCTCTCCAATTCCAACACACCACCAACACCAACCCAAGTGAGGTCCAGTGAATACCCTCGGATGTCCCCTCTTATGTACCAACACCCAGCCCTAGTGAGGTACCAAGTGAGATTCCCACAACCGATCCATCACCAATTCCCTCAAGGCCGCCAAGTGATGTTCCCAGTACTCTCCCAACTCCAGTCCCCACACCCAACCCATCAGAGACCCCATCAACTCCTCCATCGTCCCCACCCACAACCCACCTTCAACCCACCCTCTGAAACACCATCCAACTCCCAAGTAGCCACCACTGTCCCACCACTCCATTCCTAGTGAGACTCCTAGTGACACGCCCTCAACGGTTCCGACGCCAAGTCCTTCTTGGACACCCTCTGAGGTGCCCTCAAGTGTTCCTTCTCCAATTCCAACCACCACCAACACCCAACCCAAGTGAGGTCCCAGTTGAATACCCTCGGATGTCCCCTCATTATGCCAACCCAGCCTAGTGAGGTCCAAGTGAGATCCACAACCGATCCCATCACCTTCCCTCAAGCCCCAAGTGATGTTCCCAGTACTCTCCCAACTCCATCCCAACACCAAACCCCTCAGAAACCCTTCTACTCCTCCATCATCTCCACCATCACCACACCATCAGTGCCCCATCTTATGTGCCATCATCTCCACCAAGCAAACCACCATCTACACCACCCACCCCATATCCTAGTGAGACCCCAGTGAGAAACCATCAAATGTGCCAACTCCAAGTCCGTCAGAAGCCCCCTCTGATGTCCCTTCTAGTGTGCCTTCGCCTATTCCCACCACACCACCAACACCTAGCCCCAGTGAGCCCCCATCAAATGTACCCTCAGATATCCCTTCTAATGTACCCACACCAAGTCCAAGTGAGGTACCAAGTGACACACCCACAACGGTTCCATCACCCATTCCCTCAAATCAACCCAGTGATGTTCCATCACCGATTCCCTCTAGCCCACCCAGTTATGTTCCCAGCGACCCACCAACACCAGTCCCAACACCAAATCCATCAGAGACCCCATCCACTCCTCCATCCTCTCCACCATCCACCCTCATCAGCACAACCATCCGACATCCCATCATCTCCCCCTAGCAGACCACCTACAACTCCACCCACCCCAAATCCTAGTGAGACCCCCAGTGAAGTGCCCTCAACAGTTCCAACACCAAGTCCTTCCGAGACACCCTCTTATGTTCCATCCAGTTTCCTTCTCCTATTCCCACCACACCACCAACCACAACACCTAACCCAAGCGAGGTACCTAGTGAGCGTCCAACAACTGATCCTTCACCATTCCCTCAGCCCACCAAGTGATGTTCCCAGCACCCTCCAACACCAATGCCAACACCAAACCCATCAGAGACCCCATCAACCCTCCATCCTCCCCACCATCAACCCCACCCTCCCTACACCGTCTGATATCCCATCATCTCCACCTAGCAAACCACCAACTACACCACCCACCCCATATCCTAGTGAGACCCCAGTGAGAAACCATCTACACTTCCAACACCAAGTCCATCGGAGGCTCCCTCTGTTGTTCCTTCTAGTGTTCCTTCTCCTATTCCAACCACACCACCAACACCTAACCCCAGTGAGACCCCCAGTGTACACCCTCTTCTGTTCCATCACCTGTTCCTTCAACCCCACCAAGTGATATTCCCAGTACGCCGCCATCACCAGTCCCCACACCTAACCCATCAGAAACACCATCAACCCCTCCCTCATCCCCCTCCATCCAATATGCCATCATCTCCGCCGAGTAAACCACCTACTTCCCACCCACCCCATATCCTAGTGAGACCCCCAGTGAAATCCATCAACACTGCCAACACCAAGTCCATCAGAGACTCCTTCTGTGGTTCCTTCTAGTGTTCCTTCTCCTGTTCCCACCACACCACCAACACCTAACCCCAGTAAAACCCCCAGTGATACACCATCTTATGTTCCATCACCTGTTCCTTCAAGACCACCAAGCGATATTCCCAGTACCCCCCCAACAACAATGCCAACACCAACCCATCAGAGACCCCATCAACGCCTCCATCCTCCCCACCATCAACCCCGCCATCAGCTCCACCATCTGATACCCATCATCTCCACCAGCAAACCACCAACTACCGCCACCCACCCCATATCCTAGTGAGACCCCCAGTGAGAAACCATCTACACTGCCAACACCAAGTCCATCAGAGACTCCCTCTGTTGTTCCTTCTAGTGTTCCTTCTCCTATTCCCACCACACACCAACACCTAACCCCAGTGAGACCCCAAGTGAAACTCCTTCTTCTGTTCCATCACCTGTTCCTCAAGCCCACCAAGTGATATTCCCAGTACCCGCCATCACCAGTCCCCACACCTACCCATCAGAAACGCCATCAATCCCTCCCTCATCGCCACCAACTACAATCCCCGTTCACCACCCACAACCCCACCTTCAAACCCACCCTCTGAAACACCATCATCTCCACCAAGTAGACCACCCACAGTCCCACCAACTCCAATTCCTAGTGAGACTCCAAGTGACACCCTCAACATTCCGACACCAGTCCTTCTGAAACACCCTCTGAGGTGCCCTCAAGTGTTCCTTCTCCAATTCCAACCACACCACAACACCCAACCCAAGTGAGGTTCCCAGTGAGATTCCCTCGATGTCCCCTCTTATTGCCACTCCCAGTCCCAGTGAGGTGCCAAGCGAGACTCCCACAACTGTCCCTTCACCAATTCCCTCAAGCCACCAAGTGATGTTCCCAGTACCCCCAACTCCAGTCCCAAGCCTGAACCCGTCAGAAACACCATCAACTCCCATCATCCACCACCACAACCCCACCTTCAACCACCTCGAACACATCATTCTCCACCAAGAGACCCACCCACGTCCCACCAACTCCAATTCCTAGTGAGACTCCAAGTGACACACCCTCAACGATTCCGACACCCAGTCCTTCTGAAATACCCTCTGAGGTGCCCTCAAGTGTTCCTTCTCCAATTCCAACCACACCCAACACCAAACCCAAGTGAGGTTCCCAGTGAGATTCCCTCGGATGTCCCCTCTTATATCCCACTCCCAGCCCAGTGAGGTGCCAAGTGAGACTCCCACAACTGTCCCGTCACCAATTCCCTCAGGGACGCCAAGTGATGTTCCCAGTACTCTCCCAACTCCAGTCCCGACACCAAACCCATCAGAGACACCTTCAACTCCTCCATCCTCCCCACCATCAACCCCGCCATCAATAACACCATCAGATGTGCCATCGACTAACCCAAGTGAACCACCTACCATCCCACCCACACCATATCCTAGTGAGACCCCAAGTGAGACACCATCAACTCTTCCAACACCAAGTCCTTCGGAGATACCCTCTATGTGCCCTCAAATGTACCTTCTCCTGTCCCCACCACTCCTCCAACACCAAGCCCAAGTGAAGTGCCAAGTGAGACCCCTACAACTGATCCATCATCAGTTCCCTCAAACCCACCAAGTGATGTTCCCAGTACCCTGCCATCACCAGTCCCAACCCCTGACCCTTCAGAAACGCCATCAATCACTCCCTCATCCCCACCAACTCGCTCCCTACACCGAACCCATCAGAAACACCATCCTCCTCCATCGTCCCCACCAACACCTGATCCTTCAGTGCCACCATCTGATACCCCATCATCCACCAAGTAGACCACCACGTCCCACCAACTCCAGTTCCTAGTGAGACTCCGAGTGACACACCCTCAACACTTCCTACACCAAGTCCATCGGAAACACCTTCTGAGGTGCCCTCAAGTGTTCCTCTCCAATTCCAACACACCACCAACACCCAACCCAAGGAGGTCCCAGTGAGATTCCCTCGATGCCCCCTCAAATGTACCCACTCCCAGTCCGAGTGAGGTGCCAAGCGAGCTCCAACAACTGTCCCGTCACCCATTCCCTCACCTGTTCCTTCGATCCCACCTAGGAAAATCCCAGTACTCGCCCTACTCCAATCCCATCAGAGTCCCCATCAGTGCCTCCATCTCACCACCAACAACTCATCCTTCAGCACCTCCATCGGAGATTCCATCATCTCCACCAAGCAAACCACCAACCTCACCACCCACCCCTTATCCTAGTGAGACCCCCAGTGAGAAACCTTCAACTGTGCCAACTCCAAGTCCATCAGAAACCCCCTCTGAATTCCCTCGAGTGTTCCTTCTCCTATTCCTACAACGCCGCCAACACCTTCTCCATCGGAAACACCATCAGTAGTTCCCACCTGTCCCCTCTGAGACACCATCAATACCTCCATCACCAATCCCCACCACACCACCCAACTCCCAATCCTTCGAGTTGCCTTCTGAGTTCCAAGCACTCCCCCAACCCCCGCCCAAGTGAGACACCCAGTGATACCAACAACTGATCCCACCCCAATTCCTTCGAGACACCATCAACTGTTCCTTCGCCCATCCCATCCGAGTGGCCAACAGTTCCACCAACCACCCCCTTCGGACCCCTCCACTGTACCTCAGTTCAACCTTCGAACCCCCTACAGTTGTGCCCACACCTGTCCCATCACACCACCTAGTGAGCCTCCGAGTGAAATCCCAAGTGAAATCCCAACCACTGATCCACTGTACCTCCATCTAGGCCACCATCGGTCAGTCCATCCAGTCCCCATCATGGATACCAACGCCTCACCCAAGCATCCCTCCAAGCCCAATCCCATCCATTCCACCTTCATATGTTCCATCTATACCACCATCGGAACCCCCAACTCCACACCCTTCTATACCACCCAGCAGCACACCGTCTTCTGATCACCCAAGCAGCACACCTTCATCACCTCCCTCATTGCCACCAAGGTGTACCCAGTGACGATCCCACAAGGGACCCCTCAATGCCACCATCAGTTTATCCTACCCCAAACCCGTCGATATTCCCAGTGAGCCACCCTCCTCACCACCAAGTGAGCCTCCTACTGGAAAGCCAACCCCAATCCCATCAGAAACTCCATCCAGCCCACCAACACCATCCATCAGAGACCCCTTCAACACCTCCCACCCAAGCCCAAGTGAGACTCCTTCAGAGATACCAACAACTGATCCCACCCCATCCCATCAGGCCTCCCTCAACTTTGCAACTCCAATCCATCAGAAACTCCCTCAGAAGAGCCTTCGAAGTTTCCTTCGATTCCACCACAACCCAACCAACCCCATCCCAAGTGAAATCCATCAGAAATCCCCTCTGATACTCCACTACTCCTCCAACACCAAGCCCAAGATAACCCCAAGTGAGTTCCCACAACTGTCCATCACCTGTTCCCTCAAGCCCACCAGTGATGTTCCCGTACCCCACCTTCTCCAGTCCAACCCCAACCCATCAGAAACCCCATCAATCCCTCCCTCATTCACGCCAACACCAAATCCCTCAACACCACCATCTGAAGAGCCCTCATCGCCACCTAGCAGACCACCTACAATCCCACCCACCCCAAATCCAAGTGAGACACCCAGTGAGACACCACATCAACATTGCCAACACCAAGTCCATCAGAGACTCCTTCTGTTGTTCCTTCTATGTTCCTTCGCCATTCCACCACACCCAACACCCACCCCAGTGAATCTCTTCCACATTCCATCTGATACTCCATCTTGGTGGCCCACACCTAGCCCCAGCGAGGTTCCCTCAACCAAGCCAAGTGATATTCCCAGTACCCCACCATCACCAGTCCCCACCCCTGACCCATCAGAAACACCATCAATCCCTCCCCTCATCCCCACCAAGTCCAATCCCTACACCTGACCCATCAGAGAGTCCTTCAATCCCTCGTCATCACCACCCACAACCCACCTTCAAACCCACCCTCTGAAACACCTTCAACTCCACCAAGTAGCCCACCTACTGTCCCACCAACTCCAATTCCTAGTGAATCCCCACCACACCTCCCACTCCCATCCTTCTGAGCCCCCCTCTGTGAGTCCAAGCCAGGTTCCTTCTGATTTGCCAAGCACTCCCCCAACCCCCAGCCCAAGTGAGACACCCAGTGAGATACCAACAACTGACCCCACCCCAATTCCTTCGGAGACACCATCAACTGTTCCTTCGCCCATCCCATCTGAGTGGCCAACAGTGCCACCAACCACGCCCCCTTCGGAAACACCCTCCACTGTACCCTCAGCTCCACCCTCGAACCCCCTACAGTTATGCCCACACCTGTCCCATCACAGCCACCTAGTGAGCCTCCGAGTGAAGTCCCAAGTGACAATCCAACCACTGATCCCACTGTACCTCCATCAAGGCCACCATCAGTCAGTCCATCCAGTCCACCATCATTGTTACCGACGCCTCACCCAAGCATTCCACCAAGCCCAATCCCATCCGTTCCGCCTTCCTGGATACCAACGACTCCTCCCTCTGATCAACCTTCCGAAATCCCATCTGATGCACCATCAATCCCACCAACAACTGTTCCATCAGTTGCTCCAAGTGAGGTTCCTACAAGTGACCCGTCAATTGAGCCAACAGAGACTCCATCCCGTACGCCTTCTAGACTTCCCACTATGTACCCTTCTATACCACCCAGCAGCGCACCGTCTTCTGATCACCCAAGCAGCACACCTTCATCACCTCCCTCATTGCCACCAAGTGATGTACCCAGTGACGATCCCACAAGGGACCCCTCAATGCCACCATCAGTTCATCCTACCCCAAACCCGTCGGATATTCCCAGTGAGCCACCCTCCTCACCACCAAGTGAGCCTCCTACTGGAAAGCCAACCCAATCCCAACAGAAACTCCATCCAGCCCACCAACACCAATCCCTCAGAGACCCCTTCAACACCTCCCACCCAACCCAAGTGAGACTCCTTCAGAGATACCAAAACGATCCAACCCTATCCATCGAGCCCCTCAACTTTCCAACTCCAATCCATCGAAACTCCCTCAGACTTCGAATTTTGCCACCTCAACCACAACATCCAACTCAAAAGCTCCCACACTCAAGCCAGAAACACCATCTTGGATGCCCAGTGAAAACCCTTCAGAACCACCTACAACGCCACCAACAAACCCTCCTAGCGTACCTCCCAGTCATCCACCATCCACTGATCCTTCACGAACTCCTTCGGAGACCCCCTCTTATGTGCCATCTAGTGTACCTTCTCCTATCCCAACTACTCCTCCAACACCAAGCCCAAGTGAGCTGCCAAGTGAGACCCCTACAACTGATCCATCACCTGTTCCCTCAAGCCCACCAAGTGATATTCCCAGTACCCCACCATCTCCAGTCCCGACACCAAACCCATCAGAGACCCATCACTCCTCCATCTCCCACCAACACCAGTTCCAACCCCAACCCATCAGAGACTCCTTCAATCCCTCCGTCATCACCACCCACAACCCCGCCTTCAAACCCACCGTCTGAAACACCTTCAACTCCGCCCAGTAGCCCACCTACTATCCCACCCACCCCACATCCCAGTGAACCCGAGTGACACACCATCAACACTCCAACACAAGTCCATCAGAGACTCCGTCTTTTGTTCCTTCTAGTGTTCCTTCTCCATTCCCACACACACAACACTATCCCAGTGAGACCCCAAGTGAGACTCCCTCTTTGGTTCCATCACCGGTTCCTTCAACCCCACCCAGTGATGTTCCCAGTACCCCCCCAACAACAATGCCAACACCTAATCCGTCTGAGGCCCCATCAACTCCTCCATCCACGTGCCATCAACGCCTCCATCAGCACCACCATCTGAAGTGCCATCGTCTCCACCTAGTAGACCACCACTATCCCACCGACCCCACATCCCAGTGGGACCCCAGTGAGACACCATCAACGATTCCAACACCAAGTCCTTCAGAGACCCTCTTATCGCCTTCCAGTGTTCCTCTCCAATTCCCACATTACCACCACGCCTATCCCCAGCGAACCACTTCAAGCACCCTCGATGTCCCCTCTTTATCCACTCCAGTCCAGGAGGTTCCAAGTGAACTCCCACAACTGATCCTTCACCAATTCCCTCAAGCCCACCAAGTGATGTTCCCAGTACCCCCAACACCAATCCCAACCCCATCCCATCAGAACCTCAACTCCTCCATCCTCCCCACCATCAACCCCACCATCAGCTCCACCATCGATACCCATCATCTCCACCCAGCAAACCACCAACAACACCACCCACCCCATATCCTAGTGGACCCCCGGAGAACCATCAACCTCCAACACCAAGTCCATCAGAGACCCTTCTGTTGTTCCTTCTAGTGTTCCTTCTCCTATTCCCACCACACCACCAACGCCCAACCCCAGTGAGCCCCAAGTGAATTCCTTCTCCTTCCTCACTTGTTCCTTCAAGCCACCAAGTGATTTCCCAGTACCCCCCATCACCAATCCCGACGCCTGAACCATCAGAAACACCATCAACTCCTCCATCTCACCACCCACAACCCCACCTTCAAACCCACCCTCTGAAACACCTCACTCCACCAATAGACCACCCACAGTCCCACCAACTCCAATTCCTAGTGAGACTCCAAGTGACACCCTCAACATTCCGACACCCAGTCCTTCTGAAACACCCTCTGAGGTGCCCTCAATGTTCCTTCTCCAATTCCAACCACACCACAAACACCCAACCCAAGTGAGGTTCCCAGTGAGATTCCCTCGATGTCCCCTCTTATTGCCATCCCAGTCCCAGTGAGGTGCCAAGCGAGACTCCCACAACTGTCCCTTCACCAATTCCCTCAAGCCACCAAGTGATGTTCCCAGTATCTCCCAACTCCAGTCCCCAGCCTGACCCGTCAGAAACACCATCAACTCCTCATCATTCCACCACACAACCCCATCCTTCAACCACCCTCTGAAACACATTCTCCACCAAGTAGACCACCCACGTCCCACCAACTCCAATTCCTAGTGAGACTCCAAGTGACACACCTCAACGATTCCGACACACCAGTCCTTCTGAAAACCCTCTGAGGTGCCCTCAATGTTCCTTCTCCAATTCAACCACACCACAACACCAAACCCAAGTGAGGTCCCAGTGAGATTCCCTCGGATGTCCCCTCTTATATCCCACTCCCAGCCCAGTGAGGTGCCAAGTGAGACTCCCACAACTCCCGTCACCAATTCCCTCAGGACCCAAGTGTATGTTCCCAGTACTCTCCCAACTCCAGTCCCGACACCAAACCCATCAGAGACACCTTCAACTCCTCCATCCTCAAAACCATCAACCCCGCCATCAATAACACCATCAGATGTGCCATCGACTAACCCAGTGAACCACCTACCATCCCACCCACACCATATCCTAGTGAGACCCCAAGTGCACACCCTCAACTCTTCCAACACCAAGTCCTTCGGAGAACCCTCTTATGTGCCCTCAAATGTACCTTCTCCTGTCCCCACCACTCCTCCAACACAAGCCCAAGTGAAGTGCCAAGTGAGACCTACAACTGATCCATCATCAGTTCCCTCAAACCCACCAAGTGATGTTCCCAGTACCCTGCCATCACCAGTCCCAACCCCTGACCCTTCAGAAACGCCATCAATCACTCCCTCATCCCCACCAACTCCTCCCTACACCAAACCCATCAGTAACACCATCCTCCTCCATCGTCCCCACCAACACCTGATCCTTCAGTGCCACCATCTGATACCCCATCATCCACCAAGTAGACCACCACGTCCCACCAACTCCAGTTCCTAGTGAGACTCCGAGTGACACACCCTCAACACTTCCTACACCAAGTCCATCGGAAACACCTTCTGAGGTGCCCTCAAGTGTTCCTCTCCAATTCCAACACACCACCAACACCCAACCAAGGAGGTTCCCAGTGAGATTCCCTCGATGCCCCCTCAAATGTACCCACTCCCAGTCCGAGTGAGGTGCCAAGCGAGTCTCCAACAACTGTCCCGTCACCCATTCCCTCACCTGTTCCTTCGATCCACCTAGGAAAATCCCAGTACTCGCCCTACTCCAATCCCATCAGAGTCCCCATCAGTGCCTCCATCGTCACCACCAACAACTCATCCTTCAGCACCTCCATCGGAGATTCCATCATCTCCACCAAGCAAACCACCAACCTCACCACCCACCCCTTATCCTAGTGAGACCCCCAGTGAGAAACCTTCAACTGTGCCAACTCCAAGTCCATCAGAAACCCCCTCTGAATTTCCCTCGAGTGTTCCTTCTCCTATTCCTACAACGCCGCCAACACCTTCTCCATCGGAAACACCATCAGTAGTTCCCACCATGTCCCCTCTGAGACACCATCAATACCTCCATCACCATCCCCACCACACCACCCACTCCCAATCCTTCGAGTTGCCTTCTGAGTTCCAAGCACTCCCCCAACCCCGCCCAAGTGAGACACCCAGTGATACCAACAACTGATCCCACCCCAATTCCTTCGAGACACCATCAACTTTCCTTCGCCCATCCCATCCGAGTGGCCAACAGTTCCACCAACCACCCCCTTCGGACCCCCTCCACTGTACCCTCAGTTCAACCTTCGAACCCCCTACAGTTGTGCCCACACCTGTCCCATCACAACCACCTAGTGAGCCTCCGAGTGAAATCCCAAGTGAAATCCCAACCACTGATCCACTGTACCTCCATCTAGGCCACCATCGGTCAGTCCATCCAGTCCCCATCATGGATACCAACCCTCACCCAAGCATCCCTCCAAGCCCAATCCCATCCATTCCACCTTCATATGTTCCATCTATACCACCATCGGAACCCCCAACTCCACACCCTTCTATACCACCCAGCAGCACACCGTCTTCTGATCACCCAAGCAGCACACCTTCATCACCTCCCTCATTGCCACCAAGTGATGTACCCAGTGACGATCCCACAAGGGACCCCTCAATGCCACCATCAGTTTATCCTACCCCAAACCCGTCGGATATTCCCAGTGAGCCACCCTCCTCACCACCAAGTGAGCCTCCTACTGGAAAGCCAACCCCAATCCCATCAGAAACTCCATCCAGCCCACCAACACCAATCCCATCAGAGACCCCTTCAACACCTCCCACCCCAAGCCCAAGTGAGACTCCTTCAGAGATACCAACAACTGATCCAACCCCATCCCATAGGCCCCTCAACTTTGCCAACTCCAATCCATCAGAAACTCCCTCAGAAGAGCCTTCGAAGTTTCCTTCGATTCCACCTACAACCCAACCAACCCCCATCCCAAGTGAAATCATCAGGAAATCCCCTCTGATACTCCACTACTCCTCAACACAGCCCAGTGAACCCCAAGTGAGTTCCCACAACTGATCCTCACCTGTTCCCTCAAGCCCACCAGTGATGTTCCCGTACCCCACCTCTCCAGTCCAACCCCACCCATCAGAAACCCCATCAATCCCTCCCTCTTCACTGCCAACACCAAACCCTCAACACCACCATCTGAAGAGCCCTCATCGCCACCTAGCAGACCACCTACAACCACCCACCCCAAATCCAAGTGAGACACCCAGGAGACACCCATCAACAGTTCCAACACCAAGTCCATCAGAGACTCCTTCTGTTGTTCCTTCTATTGTTCCTTCGCCATTCCACCACACCCAACACCCACCCCAGTGATCTCTTCCACATTCCATCTGTACTCCATCTTGGTGGCCCACACCTAGCCCCAGCGAGGTTCCCTCAACAAGCCAAGTGATATTCCAGTACCCCCCATCACCAGTCCCCACCCCTGACCCATCAGAAACACCATCAACCCTCCCTCATCCCCACCAAGTCCAATCCCTACACCTGACCCATCAGAGAGTCCTCATCCCTCGTCATCACACCCACAACCCACTTCAAACCACCCTCTGAAACACCTTCAACTCCACCAAGTAGCCCACCTACTGTCCCACCAACTCCAATTCCTAGTGAGGCTCCAAGTGACACGCCCTCACAGTTCCGACACCAAGTCCTTCTGAAACACCGTCTGAGGTGCCTTCAATGATCCCTCTCCAATTCCAAACACCCCAACACCACCCTAGTGAGGTCCAAGTGAATACCCTGGATGTTCCCCTCTTATTACCAACACCCAGCCCTAGTGAGGTACCAAGTGAGATTCCACAACCGATCCATCACCATTCCTTCAAGGCCGCCAAGTGATGTTCCCGTACTCCCACTCCAGTCCCACACCCAACCATCAGAGACCCCATCAACTCCTCCATCGTCCCCACCAACACCTGACCTTCATACCACCTCATAACCTCACTCAAGTAGACCACACTGTCCCACCACTCCAATTCCTAGTGAGACTCCTAGTGACACGCCCTCAACGGTTCCGACGCCAAGTCCTTCTTGGACACCCTCTGAGGTGCCCTCATGTGTTGCCTCTCAATTCCCAACCACACCACACCCAACCCAAGTGAGGTCCCAGTGAAACCCTCGGATGTCCCCTCTTATTTTACCAACACCAGCCTTAGTGAGGTCCAAGTGAGATCACAACCGATCCATCACCTTTCCTTCAAGCCCACCAAGTGATGTTCCCAGTATCTCCCAACTCCATCCCAACACCAAACCCCTCAGAAACCCTTCTCTCCTCCATCATCTCCCACAACACCAACCATCAGTGCCCCATCTTATGTGCCATCTCCACCAAGCAAACCACCACTACACCACCACCCCATATCCTAGTGAGACCCCAGTGAGAAACATCAATTCCAACCCAAGTCCTCAGAGCTCCCTCTGTTGTTCCTTCTAGTGTTCCTTCGCCTATTCCACCACACCACCAACACCTAGCCCCAGTGAGCCCCCATCAAATGTACCCTCAGATATCCCTTCTAATGTACCCACACCAAGTCCAAGTGAGCTACCAAGTGACACACCCACAACGGTTCCATCACCGATTCCTTCAAATCAACCCAGTGATGTTCCATCACCGATTCCCTCTAGTCCACCCAGTTATGTTCCCAGCGACTCACCAACACCAGTCCCACACCAAATCCATCAGAGACCCCATCCACCCTCCATCCTCTCTCCACCATTCCACCCCTCATCAGCACACCATCGACATCCCATCATCTCCCCTAGAGACCACCTACAATTCCACCCACCCCAAATCCTAGTGAGACCCCCAGTGAAGTTCCCTCAAAAACAATTCCAACCACAATCTTCGAGACACCTCTTTGTTCCTCAGGTTCCTTCTCCTATTCCCACCACACAACCAACACCCAGCCCAAGTGAGGTACCTAGTGAGTCCACAACGATCCTTCACCATTCCCTCAGACACCAAGTGATGTTCCCAGCACCTCCAACACCAATGCCAACACCAAACCCATCAGAGACACCATCAACGCTCATCCTCTCCACCATTCAACCCCACCCTCGCTTTACACCGTCTATATCCCATCATCTCCACCTAGCAACCACCAACTACACCACCCACCCCATATCCTAGTGAGACGCCCAGTGAGAAACCATCACACTTCCAACACCAAGTCCATCGGAGCCCTCTTGTTGTTCCTTCTAGTGTTCCTTCTTCCTATTCCACCACCCACCAACCTACCCAGTGAGACCCCCAGTGTCACACCCTCTTCTGTTCCATCACCTGTTCCTTCAACCCCACCAAGTGATATTCCCAGTACGCCGCCATCACCAGTCCCCACACCTAACCCATCAGAAACACCATCAACCCCTCCATCATCCCTCCATCCAATATGCCATCATCTCCGCCGAGTAAACCACCTACTACTCCCACCCACACCCAATTCCTAGTGAGACCCCCAGTGAAACGCCATCAACACTGCCAACACCAAGTCCATCAGAGACTCCTTCTGTGGTTCCTTCTAGTGTTCCTTCTCCTTTCCCACCCACCACCAACACCTAACCCCAGTAAAACCCCCAGTGATACACCATCTTATGTTCCATCACCTGTTCCTTCAAGACCACCAAGCGATATTCCAGTACCCCCCCAACAACAATGCCAACACCAAACCCATCAGAGACACCATCACCCCTCCATCACCACCCCCCCACCAATCACTCCACCATTCTGATCCATCATCTCACAGCAAACCACAATACGCCACCACCCAATTCCTAGTGAGACCCCCAGTGAGAAACCATCTACACTTCCAACACCAAGTCCATCAGAGACTCCCTCGTGTTGTTCCTTCTAGTGTTCCTTCTTCCTATTCCCACACACCAACACCTAACCCAGTGAGCCCCAAGTGAAACTCTTCTTTGCTTCCATCACCGTGTCCTTCAGCCCACCAGTGAATATTCCAGTACGCGCCATCACCAGTCCCACACCTAACCCATTCAGAAACGCCATCAATCCCTCCTCATCGCCACCAACTACAATCCCACACCAAACCCATCTGAGACACCATCAACTCCTCCATCAGTCCCCACCAACACCTGATCCTTCATCACCGCCATCTGATACACCATCCTCTCCACCCAGTACACCACCTACGATGCCACCCACCCCTAGCCCAAGTGAGACACCCAGTGAGATACCAACAACTGATCCCACCCCAATTCCTTCGGAGACACCATCGACTGTTCCTACGCCTAGCCCCTCTGATTGGCCATCAGAACCACCAACAACACCTCCCTCAGAATCACCCTCAACAGTGCCCTCTGTACCGCCTTCAGACCACCCAAGCTATACACCAACGGAATTCCAACACCAAGCCCATCAGAAAGTCCTCTGATGTGCCCTCAGATGTTCCTTTCTCCTTTCCCTCTTCGCCACCAACACCCAGCCAAGTGAACCCCTAGTGAAATCCCCACTACTGATCCGACTCCACCTCCATCTAGGTCACCATCAGTCCCTCCATCCACTCCACCTTCTTGGATACCAACACTTCATCCAAGCATTTCACCATCCAATGTCCCATCTGCACCACCTTCCTCTCCACCCTCTGAGCCACCAAGTGAAACCCCCACAAGTGATCCAACAATGCCACCATCTAGTCCCCCCACATCAAATCCATCGATTTCGCCTAGCAGCACGCCTTCTTCTGGCCATCCTAGCCAGATGCCGACAACAGAACCATCAGTTTTACCAACAGATCGCCCAAGTGTGGGGCCATCGAATGATCCAACGGTCGAGCCAACCACCCCACCTTCATCAGATCCATCGGAATCGCCTAGTAACACACCCTCTTCTGGCCACCCCAGCCAGATGCCTACTACAGAGCCATCTGTTGTACCAACCGGCCATCCCAGTGCAGAGCCATCAAATGACCCCACGGTGGAGCCAACCACCCCACCTTCATCAGATCCATCAGTGCCACCTTCCATATCCCCTTCTGATATTCCAAGTACAAGGCCAACTGGTGTACCAACAAGACCACCAACAAAGGTTCCAAGTGTACCACCTTCAAGAGTACCTTCTGAAAGCCCAAGTGAAGAGCCCACAACTGTCCCTACAAAGCCACCCTCTGAAAGCCCTTCAACCATTCCAACCAGAGTGCCAACACAGCCTCCCACAACCACTCGACCTTCAGAATCCCCCAGTGATGAACCAAGTGTGATCCCAACAACTCCACCCTCACTGTTCCCTTCTGTCCCACCCAGCGTAGGTCCTACAAGTGTGCCAACAAAGCCTCCCACAAATGTTCCCAGTGAACCCCCTTCAGACACCCCCACATCAATTCCTTCAGGTGTGCCCAGTGAGACTCCCTCTAGGGACCCAACAATGATTCCATCGATTAGTCCAAGCCAGGTACCTTCAGAAAACCCGTCCCAGGTGCCATCTGAACTCCCAGTGTGAACCAAGCAGGCAGCCAACTGACCAGCCATCTAGATACCCTTCAGTTGAACCCAGTGAAGGCCCAACAGTTGTTCCCACCAGAGTGCCATCAAGAAGTCCAAGCACAGTCCCTTCAGAAAAACCCTCTGAAGTGCCTTCTGAACCACCAAGTGATGAACCAAGCAACAGACCAACGACCAGCCATCTAGATCCTCAGTTGAACCCCAGTGAGGCCCTACAGAGTTCCACCAGGTCCCATCCAGTAGTCCAACCAAGGTACCCACAAACAAACCTTCTGAAACACCATCTCTCATCTTTTCACACCAAACCCATCTGAGACACCATCAACTCCTCCATCGTCCCCACCAACACCTGATCCTTCATCACCACCATCTGATATACCATCCTCTCCACCCAGTACACCACCTACGATGCCACCCACCCCTAGCCCAAGTGAGACACCCAGTGAGATACCAACAACTGACCCCACCCCAATTCCTTCGGAGACACCATCAACTGTTCCTTCGCCCATCCCATCTGAGTGGCCAACAGTGCCACCAACCACGCCCCCTTCGGAAACACCCTCCACTGTACCCTCAGCTCCACCTTCAGAACCCCCTACAGTTATGCCCACACCTGTCCCATCACAGCCACCTAGTGAGCCTCCGAGTGAAGTCCCAAGTGACACTCCAACCACTGATCCCACTGTACCTCCATCAAGGCCACCATCAGCCAGTCCATCCAGTCCACCATCATTGTTACCGACGCCTCACCCAAGCATTCCACCAAGCCCAATCCCCTCCGTTCCGCCTTCCTGGATACCAACGACTCCTCCCTCTGATCAACCTTCCGAAATCCCATCTGATGCACCATCAATCCCACCAACAACTGTTCCATCAGTTGCTCCAAGTGAGGTTCCTACAAGTGACCCGTCAATTGAACCAACAGAGACTCCATCCCGTACACCTTCTAGACTTCCAACTATGTACCCTTCTATACCACCCAGCAGCACACCGTCTTCTGATCACCCAAGCAGCACACCTTCATCACCTCCCTCATTGCCACCAAGCGGTGTACCCAGTGACGATCCCACAAGGGACCCCTCAATGCCGCCATCAGTTCATCCTACCCCAAGCCCATCTGATATTCCCAGTGAGCCACCCTCCTCACCACCAAGTGAGCCTCCTACTGGAAAGCCAACCCCAATCCCATCAGAAACTCCATCCAGCCCACCAACACCAATCCCATCAGAGACCCCTTCAACACCTCCCACCCCAAGCCCAAGTGAGACTCCTTCAGAGATACCAACAACGGATCCAACCCCTATCCCATCAGAGCCACCTACAACTTTGCCAACTCCAAATCCATCGGAAACTCCCTCAGATGAACCAACTCAAGAGCCATCAGAAACACCATCTTGGATGCCCAGTGAAAACCCTTCAGAACCACCTACAACGCCACCAACAAACCCTCCTAGCGTACCTCCCAGTCATCCACCATCCACTGATCCTACACCAACTCCTTCGGAGACCCCCTCTTATGTGCCATCTAGTGTACCTTCTCCTATCCCAACTACTCCTCCAACACCAAGCCCAAGTGAGGTGCCAAGTGAGACCCCTACAACTGATCCATCACCTGTTCCCTTCAAGCCCACCAAGTGATATTCCCAGTACCCCACCATCTCCAGTCCCAACCAAACCCATCAGAGACGCCATCACTCCTCCATCGTCCCCACCAACACCAGTCCAACCCCAACCCATCAGAGACTCCTTCAATCCCTCCGTCATCACCACCCACAACCCCGCTTCAAACCCACCTCTGAAACACCTTCAACTCGCCCAGTAGCCCACCTACTATCCCACCCACCCCACATCCCAGTGAGACCCCGAGTGACACACCGTCAACACTCCAAACAAGTCCATCAGAGACTCCTCTTTGTTCCTTCTAGTGTTCCTTCTCCATTCCCACCACACCACCAACGCCTATCCCCAGTGAGACCCCAAGTGAGACTCCCTCTTTGGTTCCATCACCGGTTCCTTCAACCCCACCCAGTGATGTTCCCAGTACCCCCCCAACAACAATGCCAACACCTAATCCGTCAGAGGCCCCATCAACTCCTCCATCCACGGTGCCATCAACGCCTCCATCAGCACCACCATCTGAAGTGCCATCGTCTCCACCTAGTAGACCACCTACTATCCCACCGACCCCACATCCCAGTGAGACCCCTAGTGAGACACCATCAACGATTCCAACACCAAGTCCTTCAGAGACACCCTCTTATACGCCTTCCAGTGTTCCTTCTCCAATTCCCACAATACCACCAACGCCTATCCCCAGCGAACCACCTTCAAGAACACCCTCTGATGTCCCCTCTTACATACCCACTCCTAGTCCGAGCGAGGTTCCAAGTGACACTCCAACAACTGATCCTTCGCCAATTCCCTCCAACCCACCAAGTGATGTTCCCAGTACCCCCCCAACATCAATCCCAACACCCATCCCATCAGAGACCCCATCAACTCCTCCATCCTCCCCACCATCAACCCCACCATCAACTCCACCATCTGATATCCCATCATCTCCACCCAGCAAACCACCAACTACACCACCCACCCCATATCCTAGTGAGACCCCCAGTGAGAAACCATCAACACTGCCAACACCAAGTCCATCAGAGACTCCTTCTGTTGTCCCTTCTAGTGTTCCTTCTCCTATTCCCACCACACCACCAACGCCCAACCCCAGTGAGACCCCAAGTGATATTCCTTCTCCAATTCCATCACCTGTTCCTTCAAGCCCACCAAGTGATATTCCCAGTACCCCCCCATCACCAATCCCGACGCCTGAACCATCAGAAACACCATCAACTCCTCCATCCTCACCACCCACAACCCCACCTTCAAACCCACCCTCTGAAACACCATCATCTCCACCAAGTAGACCACCCACAGTCCCACCAACTCCAATTCCTAGTGAGACTCCAAGTGACCACCTCAACATTCCGACCCCAGTCCTTCTGAACACCCTCTGAGGTTGCTCCTCAACTGTTCCTTCTCCAATTCCAACCACACCACCAACACCCAACCCAAGTGAGGTCCCCAGTGAGATTCCCTCCGATGTCCCCTCTTATTTGCCCACTCCCAGTCCCAGTGAGATGCCAAGCGAGACTCCCACAACTGTCCCTTCACCAATTCCCTCAACGCCACCAAGTGATGTTCCCAGTACTCTCCCAACTCCAGTCCCGACGCCTGACCCGTCAGAAACACCATCAACTCATCCATCATTGCCACCAACACCTGATCCTTCAGTGCCACCTTCGGATACACCATCATCTCCACCAAGCAGACCACCCACAGTCCCACCAACTCCAATTCCTAGTGAGACTCCAAGTGACACACCCTCAACGATTCCGACACCCAGTCCTTCTGAAATACCCTCTGAGGTGCCCTCAAGTGTTCCTTCTCCAATTCCAACCACACCACCAACACCAAACCCAAGTGAGGTTCCCAGTGAGATTCCCTCGGATGTCCCCTCTTATATACCCACTCCCAGCCCCAGTGAGGTGCCAAGTGAGACTCCCACAACTGTCCCGTCACCAATTCCCTCAAGGACACCAAGTGATGTTCCCAGTACTCTCCCAACTCCAGTCCCGACACCAAACCCATCAGAGACACCTTCAACTCCTCCATCCTCAAAACCATCAACCCCGCCATCAATAACACCATCAGATGTGCCATCGACTAACCCGAGTGAACCACCTACCATCCCACCCACACCATATCCTAGTGAGACCCCAAGTGCGACACCATCAACTCTTCCAACACCAAGTCCTTCGGAGAAACCCTCATATGTGCCCTCAAATGTACCTTCTCCTGTCCCCACCACTCCTCCAACACCAAGCCCAAGTGAAGTGCCAAGTGAGACCCCTACAACTGATCCATCACCAGTTCCCTCAAGCCCACCAAGTGATGTTCCCAGTACCCTGCCATCACCAGTCCCAACCCCTGACCCTTCAGAAACGCCATCAATCCCTCCCTCATCCCCACCAACTCCGCTCCCTACACCAAACCCATCAGTAACACCATCGACTCCTCCATCGTCCCCACCAACACCTGATCCTTCAGTGCCACCATCTGATACACCATCATCCCCCCCAAGTAGTCCACCCACAGTCCCACCAACTCCAGTTCCTAGTGAGACTCCGAGTGACACACCCTCAACACTTCCTACACCAAGTCCATCGGAAACACCTTCTGAGGTGCCCTCAAGTGTTCCTTCTCCAATTCCAACCACACCACCAACACCCAACCCAAGCGAGGTCCCCAGTGAGATTCCCTCGGATGCCCCCTCAAATGTACCCACTCCCAGTCCGAGTGAGGTGCCAAGCGAGACTCCAACAACTGTCCCGTCACCCATTCCCTCACCTGTTCCTTCGATCCCACCTAGCGAAAATCCCAGTACTCGCCCTACTCCAATCCCATCAGAGTCCCCATCAGTGCCTCCATCATCACCACCAACAACTCATCCTTCAGCACCTCCATCGGAGATTCCATCATCTCCACCAAGCAAACCACCAACCTCACCACCCACCCCTTATCCTAGTGAGACCCCCAGTGAGAAACCTTCAACTGTGCCAACTCCAAGTCCATCAGAAACCCCCTCTGAAGTTCCCTCGAGTGTTCCTTCTCCTATTCCTACAACGCCGCCAACACCTTCTCCATCGGAAACACCATCAGTAGTTCCCACACCTGTCCCCTCTGAGACACCATCAATACCTCCATCACCAATCCCCACCACACCACCCACTCCCAATCCTTCTGAGTTGCCTTCTGAGTTCCCAAGCACTCCCCCAACCCCCAGCCCAAGTGAGACACCCAGCGAGATACCAACAACTGATCCCACCCCAATTCCTTCGGAGACACCATCAACTTTTCCTTCGCCCATCCCATCTGAGTGGCCAACAGTGCCACCAACCACACCCCCTTCGGAAACACCCTCCACGGTACCCTCAGTTCAACCTTCAGAACCCCCTACAGTTGTGCCCACACCTGTCCCATCACAGCCACCTAGTGAGCCTCCGAGTGAAATCCCAAGTGAAATCCCAACCACTGATCCCACTGTACCTCCATCTAGGCCACCATCGGTCAGTCCATCCAGTCCCCCATCATGGATACCAACTCCTCACCCAAGCATCCCTCCAAGCCCAATCCCATCCATTCCACCTTCATATGTTCCATCTATACCACCATCGGAACCCCCAACTCCACACCCTTCTATACCACCCAGCAGCACACCGTCTTCTGATCACCCAAGCAGCACACCTTCATCACCTCCCTCATTGCCACCCAGTGATGTACCCAGTGAAGATCCCACAAGTGACCCCTCGATGCCACCATCAGTTCATCCTACCCCGAACCCATCTGATATTCCCAGTGAGCCACCCTCCTCACCACCAAGTGAGCCTCCTACTGGAAAGCCAACCCCAATCCCATCAGAAACTCCATCCAGCCCACCAACACCAATCCCATCAGAGACCCCTTCAACACCTCCCACTCCAAGCCCAAGTGAGACTCCTTCAGAGATACCAACAACTGATCCAACCCCTATCCCATCAGAGCCACCCTCAACTTTGCAACTCCAATCCATCAGAAACTCCCTCAGAAGAGCCTTCGACGTTTCCTTCGATTCCACCTACAACCCAACCAACCCCATCCCAGTGAACGTCCATCAGAAATCCCCTCTGATACTCCCACTACTCCTCCAACACAAGCCCAAGTAACCCAAGTGAGTCCCACAACGATCCTCACCTTCCTCAAGCCCACCAAGTGATGTTCCCGTACCCCACCTTCTCCAGTCCCAACCCCACCCATCAGAAACCCCATCAATCCCTCCCTCTTCACCGCCAACACCAAATCAACACCACCATCTGAAGAGCCCTCATCGCCACCTAGCAGACCACCTACAACCCACCCACCCCAAATCCAAGTAGACACCCAGGAGACACCACATCAACATTGCCACACCAAGTCATCAGAGACTCCTTCTGTTGTTCCTTCTATGTTCCTTCGCCAATTCCACCACACACCAACACCACCCCAGTGATCTCTTCCACAATTCCATCTGATACTCCATCTTGGTGGCCCACACCTAGCCCAGCGAGGTTCCCTCAACCAAGCCAAGTGATATTCCCAGTACCCCCCATCACCAGTCCCCACCCCTGACCCTCAGAAACACCATCAACCCCCCCTCATCCCCACCAATCCAATCCCTACCTGACCCATCAGAGAGTCCTCATTCCCTCGTCATCACACCCACAACCCACCTTCAAACCCACCCTCTGAAACACCTTCAACTCCACCAAGTAGCCACCTACTGTCCCACCAACTCCAATTCCTAGTGAGACTCCAAGTGACACGCCCTCAACGTTCCGACACCAAGTCCTTCTGAAACACCGTCTGAGGTGCCTCAAATGTCCCTCTCCAATTCAACACCACCAACACCACCAGTGAGGTCCAGTGAAATACCCTCGATGTCCCCTCTTATATACCAACACCCAGCCCTAGTGAGGTCCAAGTGAGATTCCCACAACCGATCCATCACCAATTCCTCAAGGCCGCCAAGTGATGTTCCCGTACTCCCACTCCATCCCACACCCAACCATCAGAGACCCATCAACCTCCATCGTCCCACCAACACCACCTTCAGTACAACCATCTGATACCCATCACTCCCAAGTAGCCACCCACTGTCCCACCAACTCCAATTCCTAGTGAGACTCCTAGTGACACGCCCTCAACGGTTCCGACGCCAAGTCCTTCTTGGACACCCTCTGAGGTGCCCTCAAGTGTTCCTCTCCAATTCCAACCACACACCACACCCAACCCAAGTGAGGTCCCAGTGAATACCCTCGGATGTCCCCTCTTATATACCAACACCCAGCCCTAGTGAGGTACCAAGTGAGATTCCAACGACCATCACCTCTTCCTCAAGCCACCAAGTATGTTCCCAGTACTCTCCCAACTCCATCCCAACACCAAACCCCTCAGAAACCCTTCTACTCCTCCATCATCTCCACCATCACCAACCATCAGTGCCCCATCTTATGTGCCATCTCCACCAAGCAAACCACCAACTACACACCCACCCCATATCCTAGTGAGACCCCAGTGAGAAACCATCTACATTCCAACCCAAGTCCATCAGAGACCCCTCTGTTGTTCCTTCTAGTGTTCCTTCTCCTATTCCCACCACACCACCAACACCTAGCCCCAGTGAGCCCCCATCAAATGTACCCTCAGATATCCCTTCTAATGTACCCACACCAAGTCCAAGTGAGCTACCAAGTGACACACCCACAACGGTTCCATCACCATTCCTCAAATCAACCCAGTGATGTTCCATCACCGATTCCCTCTAGCCACCCAGTTATGTTCCCAGCGACCACCAACACCATCCCAACACCAAATCCATCAGAGACCCCATCCACCCTCCATCCTCCTCCACCATCCACCCCTCTCAGCACAACCATCCACATCCCATCATCTCCCCCTAGCAGACCACCTACAATCCACCCACCCCAAATCCTAGTGAGACCCCATGAAGCCCCAACCTTCCACACCAAGTCCTTCCGAGACACCCTCTTATGTTCCATCAGGTTCCTTCTCCTATTCCCACCACACAACCAACACCACCCAGGAGGTACCAGTGAGTCCCACAACGATCCTCACCAATTCCCTCACACCAAGTGATGTTCCCAGCACCCCTCCAACACCAATGCCAACACCAAACCCATCAGAACCCATCAACGCTCATCCTCCCACCATCAACCCCACCCTCGCTTACACCTATATCCCATCATCTCCACCTAGCAACCACCAACTACACCACCCACCCCATATCCTAGTGAGACCCCAGTGAGAAACCATCCACACTTCCAACACCAAGTCCATCAGACCCTCTGTTGTTCCTCTAGTGTTCCTTCTCCTATTCCCACCCACCCAACTAACCCCAGTGAGACCCCCAGTGCACACCCTCTTCTGTTCCATCACCTGTTCCTTCAAGCCCACCAAGTGATATTCCCAGTACCCGCCATCACCAGTCCCCACACCTAACCCATCAGAAACACCATCAACCCCTCCTCATCCCCCATCCAATATGCCATCATCTCCCCCGAGTAACCACCTACTTCCCACCCACCCAATCCTAGTGAGACCCCCAGTGAAACACCATCAACACTGCCAACACCAAGTCCATCAGAGACTCCTTCTTGGTTCCTTCTAGTGTTCCTTCTCCTTTCCCACCACACCACCAACACCAACCCCAGTAACCCCCAGTGATACACCATCTTATGTTCCATCACCTGTTCCTTCAAGACCACCAAGCGATATTCCAGTACCCCCCCAACAACAATGCCAACACCAAACCCATCAGAGACCCATCAACCCCTCCATCCCCCACCACCCACCATCACTCCACATTCTATCCATCATCTCACTAGCAACACCAACTACCCACCCCCACATTCCTAGTGAGACCCCCAGTGAGAAACCATCTACACTCCAACACCAAGTCCATCAGAGACTCCCTCTGTTGTTCCTCTAGTGTTCCTTCCTATTCCCACACACCAACACCTAACCCAGTGAGGCCCAAGTGAAACTCTTCTTTTTCCATCACCTTCCTTCAGCCCACCAAGTGATATTCCAGTACGCCCATCACCAGTCCCACACCTAACCCATCAGAAAGAACCATCAATCCTCCTCATCGCCACCAATACAATCCCACACCAAACCCATCTGAGACACCATCAACTCCTCCATCGTCCCCACCAACACCTGATCCTTCATCACCACCATCTGATATACCATCCTCTCCACCCAGTACACCACCTACGATGCCACCCACCCCTAGCCCAAGTGAGACACCCAGTGAGATACCAACAACTGATCCCACCCCAATTCCTTCGGAGACACCATCGACTGTTCCTACGCCTAGCCCCTCTGATTGGCCATCAGAACCACCAACAACACCTCCCTCAGAATCACCCTCAACAGTGCCCTCTGTTCCGCCTTCAGACCACCCAAGCTATACACCAACGGGAATTCCAACGCCAAGACCATCAGAAAGTCCCTCTGATGTGCCCTCAGATGTTCCTTCTCCTGTTCCCTCTTCGCCACCAACACCCAGCCCAAGTGAAACCCCTAGTGAAATCCCCACTACTGATCCGACTCCACCTCCATCTAGGTCACCATCAGTCCCTCCATCCACTCCACCTTCTTGGATACCAACACTTCATCCAAGCATTTCACCATCCAATGTCCCATCTGCACCACCTTCCTCTCCACCCTCTGAGCCACCAAGTGAAACCCCCACAAGTGATCCAACAATGCCACCATCTAGTCCCCCCACATCACATCCATCGATTTCGCCTAGCAGCACGCCTTCTTCTGGCCATCCTAGCCAGATGCCAACAACAGAACCATCAGTTGTACCAACAGATCGCCCAAGTGCGGGGCCATCGAATGATCCAACGGTTGAGCCAACCACCCCACCTTCATCAGATCCATCGGAATCGCCTAGTAACACACCCTCTTCTGGCCACCCCAGCCAGATGCCTACTACAGAGCCATCTGTTGTACCAACCGGCCATCCCAGTGCAGAGCCATCAAATGACCCCACGGTGGAGCCAACCACCCCACCTTCATCAGATCCATCAGTGCCACCTTCCATATCCCCTTCTGACATTCCAAGTACAAGGCCAACTGGTGTACCAACAAGACCACCAACAAAGGTTCCAAGTGTACCACCTTCAAGAGTACCTTCTGAAAGCCCAAGTGAAGAGCCCACAACTGTCCCTACAAAGCCACCCTCTGAAAGCCCTTCAACCATTCCAACCAGAGTGCCAACACAGCCTCCCACAACCACTCGACCTTCAGAATCCCCCAGTGATGAACCAAGTGTGATCCCAACAACTCCACCCTCACTGTTCCCTTCTGTCCCACCCAGCGTAGGTCCTACAAGTGTGCCAACGAAGCCTCCCACAAATATTCCCAGTGAACCCCCTTCAGACACCCCCCATCAATTCCTTCAGGTGCCCAGTGAGACTCCCTCTAGGGACCCAACAATGATCCATCATTAGTCCAAGCCAGGTACCTTCAGAAAAACCGTCCCAGGTGCCATCTGAACCTCCCAGTGATGAACCAAGCAGCAGGCCAACCGATCAGCCCTCGAGGTACCCCTCCATGGAACCCAGTGAAGGCCCAACAGTTGTTCCCACCAAAGTGCCATCAAGAAGTCCAAGCAGTCCCTTCAGAAAAACCCTCTGAAGTGCCTTCTGAACCACCAAGTGATGAACCAAGCAACAGACCAACCGACCAGCCATCTAGATACCCTTCAGTTGAACCCAGTGAAGGCCCTACAGAAGTTCCTACCAAGATCCCATCCAGTAGTCCAACCAAGGTACCCACAAACAAACCTTCTGAAACACCATCCGAGCCTCCTAGTGATGAACCCAGCATCCAGCCAACTAACCAGCCTTCTAGATATCCTTCAAGGGAACCAAGCTCTGAACCTACAAGTGTGCCAACAAAGCCTCCCACAAATATTCCTAGTGAATCCCCTTCAGACACCCCCACATCAATTCCCTCAGGTGCACCCAGTGAGACTCCCTCTAGAGACCCAACAATGATCCCATCGATTAGTCCAAGCCAGGTACCTTCAGAAAAACCGTCCCAGATGCCATCTGAACCTCCCAGTGATGAACCAAGCAGCAGGCCAACCGATCAGCCCTCTAGGTTCCCCTCCGTGGAACCCAGTGAAGGCCCAACAGTTGTTCCCACCAAAGTGCCATCAAGAAGTCCAAGCACAGTCCCTTCAGAAAAACCCTCTGAAGTGCCTTCTGAACCACCTAGTGATGAACCAAGCAACAGACCAACCGACCAGCCATCTAGATACCCTTCAGTTGAACCCAGTGAAGGCCCTACAGAAGTTCCTACCAAGATCCCATCCAGTAGTCCAACCAAGGTACCCACAAACAAACCTTCTGAAACACCATCCGAGCCTCCTAGTGACGAACCCAGCATCCAGCCAACTAACCAGCCTTCTAGATATCCTTCAAGGAACCAAGCTCTGAACCTACAAGTGTGCCAACGAAGCCTCCCACAAATATTCCCAGTGAACCCCCTTCAGACACCCCCACATCAATTCCTTCAGGTGCACCCAGTGAGACTCCCTCTAGGGACCCAACAATGATCCCATCCATTAGTCCAAGCCAGGTACCTTCAGAAAAACCGTCCCAGGTGCCATCTGAACCTCCCAGTGATGAACCGAGCAGCAGGCCAACCGAGCAGCCCTCTAGGTACCCCTCCGTGGAACCCAGTGAAGGCCCAACAGTTGTTCCCACCAGAGTGCCATCAAGAAGTCCAAGCATGGTCCTTCAGAAAAACCCTCTGAAGTGCCTTCTGAACGCCTAGTGATGAACCAAGCAACAGACCAACGACCAGCCATCCAGATATCCTTCAGATCAACCCAGTTCTGGACCCACAAGCGTCCCATCAAGGGAACCCACACCTTCTCCAAGTGAAACCCCTTCAAACACCCCCACATCAGTGCCTTCTGGTGCACCCAGTGAGACCCCCTCGAGTGACCCAACAATGGCTCCAAGTCGTGTCCCATCCAACACCCCAAGTGAAGGTCCTACTGAAGTTCCAACAATGGTCCCATCCAGCAGTCCAAGCAAGGTCCCTTCCGGAAAACCTTCCATCATGCCTTCTGAGAAGCCAAGTTCTGAACCAAGCAGGACACCAACTGATCAGCCTTCCAGATATCCTTCTGTTCAACCAAGTTCTGGTCCTACAGGAGTTCCAACAAAGGTCCCATCCAGTTCTCCAACCAAAGTCCCTAGTGAAAAACCTTCAATACTTCCTTCTGAGACACCCAGTGATGTACCGAGCAGCAGACCAACTGACCAGCCTTCTAGTATCCTTCACTCAACCAAGTGAAGGTCCTACGAGTGTGCCATCTCGAGAGCCAACACACACTCCAAGTGAGACACCTTCAGACAGCCCCACAACAATTCCCTCTGGAAAACCCAGCGAGAGTCCTTCAAGTGACCCGACAATGGCTCCAAGCCGTGCTCCCTCCAGTGCCCCCAGTGTAGGCCCCACACGAGTTCCAACCATGGTTCCATCCAGTAGTCCAAGCAAGGTCCCTTCTGGCAAACCTTCAATCATACCCTCTGAATTACCCAGTGCTGAACCTAGCAGCAGACCAACAGACCAGCCTTCCAGATATCCTTCAGCTCAACCAAGTGAAGGTCCTACAGGAGTACCTTCCAGGGCCCCATCCCGTAGTCCAAGCAAAGTACCTTCTGCAAAACCATCAGTCATGCCTTCTGAGATCCCAAGTTCTCAACCAAGCAGGACACCAACTGACCAACCCTCTAGGTATCCTTCTTCTCAACCAAGTGCTGGTCCTACCAGTGTTCCATCAATAGCTCCCTCGGGTATTCCCAGTGAAACACCTTCACAAAGTCCCACTTCAGTTCCTTCTGGTGTGCCCAGTGAGACTCCTTCACGTGACCCAACGATGGTTCCAAGTCTCACTCCCTCTAGCTCACCGAGTGAAGGTCCCACAGGGGTTCCTTCCAAGGTCCCATCTGATAGTCCTACCAAGGTCCCAACTGAAAAACCTTCCCAGGTGCCTTCGATACCTCCCAGCCGTGAACCAAGCAGTGGACCAACTGACCAGCCATCTAGATACCCCTCAGTCGAACCCAGTGAAGGCCCAACAGAAGTTCCTACCAAGGTCCCATCCAGTAGTCCAACTCAAGTCCCCACAAAAAGGCCGTCTGAAATGCCTTCTGAATCACCCAGTGATGAGCCAAGCAGATCGCCCACTGAGCAGCCCTCTAGGTATCCTTCTTCCCAACCAAGTGATGGTCCAACAGGAATTCCAACAAAGGTTCCCTCAAAGAGCCCAAGCGAAACCCCTTCGAACATGCCAACATCAATTCCATCAGGTGCACCCAGTGATACTCCATCGAGTGACCCAACCATGCCACCAACAAAGGCGCCATCAGCCGAGCCAAGTCGAATGCCTTCTGGAAATCCAACGAGCAATCCTTCCAGTCAACCTAGTCAACAACCTACTGAACAGCCGTCCAAGGTTCCATCTGAAGCGCCGAGTGAGGGACCTACAAGCAACCCCACCACGCCTCCTTCTTCTGTTCCATCTGCAGCTCCAAGTGATCTACCCAGTGGCACTCCCACAACAACACCAAGCATTGCTCCCAGTAAGAATCCAACGCAAATGCCAAGCACAATTCCTTCCGCAGCTCCAAGCTCTGGGCCAACGGGAATTCCTACCAAAGTTCCAACAAATGTACCCAGTCTTCCACCAACACCAAGTCCAAGTGCTACTCCCTCGTTTGCTCCAAGTTCGACCCCGACTGGTCATCCAACCAAAACTCCCAGTATCCCACCCTCAGAAGCACCTAGCTCGCCCCCCTCTAGTCTTCCAACGAAAGCTCCAAGTATCACGCCCTCGGCAGCACCAAGTTCTGGACCAACTGGAAACCCAACAAAGGAACCCACTGGTGTACCGAGTCTTCCACCATCATTGTCTCCAAGCAGAAGTCCATCAATCGTCCCAAGTACGAATCCCACTGGTCATCCATCAATATCTCCATCAGCAACACCCTCGGCAATGCCAAGCTCTGAACCAAGCAGGACACCAACCGATCACCCTTCAAGATATCCGTCGACTGAACCCAGTGCAGGCCCAACTGGAATTCCAACAAAGGCCCCTTCTAGCAGCCCAAGTGGAGTTCCATCAGGAACACCATCTGCAAAGCCTTCTTCAACCCCCAGTGATCAACCAAGTACTGTGCCTTCTGACCAGCCTACTCGGTATCCATCAGCTGAACCCAGCGCCGGCCCAACTGGAGTACCCACCAAGCTTCCCTCTAGCAGCCCAAGCGAAATCCCATCCAGAGAGCCTTTATCACCTTCTATTACACCAAGTGATGAGCCAAGCAGGACACCAACCGACCAACCTTCCAGATATCCCTCATCTGAGCCCAGTGTGGGTCCAACTGTAGTTCCAACAAAGGTTCCATCTAGCAGCCCCAGCAGAGTGCCATCCGGAACACCATCTGCAAGGCCTTCTCTAACACCAAGTGATGAACCAAGTAGCACACCATCTGACCAGCCTTCTAGATATCCTTCAGCTGAACCCAGTGCCGGTCCAACTGGAGTCCCTACCAAGCTTCCCTCTAGCAGCCCAAGCGAAGTACCCACAGGAACACCATCTATGATGCCATCTGCACACCAAGCAACAAACCTAGTATCACACCATCGGACCAGCCTTCTAGATATCCTCACTGAACCAGTGGAGGCCAACTGGGTCCCAAAAGGCCCCATCCAGCAGCCCAAGCGAGGTACCCACAGGAACACCATCTATGATGCCTTCAGTGCCGCCATCAAGTAGTCCAAGCAAAGTGCCAACAGGGACACCATCAGCAACACCTTCTATTACACCAAGTGCTGAACCCAGCATGACACCAACTGACCAGCCTTCTAGATATCCTTCAGCTGAACCCAGTGGAGGCCCAACTGGAGTCCCTACCAAGCTTCCCTCTAGCAGCCCAAGTGGAATTCCATCAGAAACACCTTCTGCATCACCTTCTACTACACCAAGTGATGAGCCAAGCAGGACACCAACCGACAACCTCCAGATATCCCTCAGCTGAACCAAGTACTGGCCCCACTGGAGTCCCCACCAAGCTTCCCTCTAGCAGCCCAAGTGGAATTCCATCCAAAGAGCCTTCTGTATCACCTTCTATTACACCAAGTGATGACCAAGCAGGACACCAACCGAACAACCGTCCAGATATCCCTCAGCTGAACCAAGTACTGGCCCAACTGGAGTCCCCACCGCTTCCTCTAGCAGCCCAAGTGAACCATCAAACAGCCCCACATCTATTCCCTCTGGCGCACCCAGCCATACTCCCTCAAGTGACCCCACCAAGCTTCCCTCTAGCAGCCCAAGTGGAATTCCATCCGGAGAGCCTTCTGTATCACCTTCTACTGCACCAAGTGATGAGCCAAGCAGGACACCAACCGATCAGCCTTCCAGATATCCTTCAGCTGAACCAAGTGCTGGCCCCACTGGAGTCCCCACCAAGCTTCCTTCTAGCAGCCCAAGTGGAATTCCATCTGGAGAGCCTTCTGTATCTCCTTCTATTACACCAAGTGATTCGCCAAGCAGGACACCAACCGACCAACCTTCACGACAACCTTCGCTGGCCCAGTGTAGGTCCAACTGTGTTCCAACAAAGGCTCCATCCAGCAGCCCAAGCCGAGTTCCATCCGGCACACCATCTGCATCACCATCTGATCCTCCTAGTGATGTACCCAGCAGTGTTCCAACAAACTATCCTACTCGGTATCCATCAGCTGTTCCAAGTGAAGGTCCCACAAGAGTCCCATCAAAGGCCCCATCAAGCATCCCAAGCCAGGTTCCTTCAAAGAGCCCATCAGCAGTTCCTTCTGACGTTCCAACCCAGGCTCCCTCCAGCAATCCAACCAAGACACCAACATCTTTCCCCTCTGCATCACCAAGCTCGGGTCCAACAGGAGTTCCTAGCAAGCTTCCCTCTAGCAGCCCAAGCCGAGTTCCATCTGGTACACCATCTTTGGCACCATCTGCTACTCCTAGTGATGCACCAAGCAGCATGCCAACCGACCAGCCTTCTAAATATCCTTCAGTTGAACCGAGTGCAGGCCCAACACAAGTTCCAACGAAGGTCCCATCTAGCAGCCCAAGCCAAGTGCCCACAGGAACTCCGTCTGCAATGCCTTCTGTTCTGCCCAGTGATGTCCCAAGTGATACACCAACTGACCAGCCCTCGCGTTATCCTTCAGCTGAACCCAGTGGAGGACCCACAGGAGTTCCAACAAACATTCCCACAAGAAGTCCAAGTGAAACTCCTTCAAACAGCCCCACATCTATTCCCTCTGGTGCACCCAGCGATACTCCCTCAAGTGACCCAACAATGCAACCCACAAGCACACCATCAGCTGAACCAAGCAAAGTGCCAACTGGAGTCCCCACAAAAGTCCCATCCAGCAGCCCAAGTCGAGTTCCATCAGGTACACCATCTTCATCACCATCTGCCACCCCCAGTGATGAGCCAAGCAGGACACCAACCGACCAGCCTTCCAGATATCCTTCAGCTGAACCAAGTGTTGGTCCAACTGGAGTTCCTACGAAAACCCCATCCAGTTCACCAAGCAATGTGCCCACCGGGAAACCATCGGGAACACCTTCAGTTATGCCAAGTGCTGAACCAAGCAGGACACCGACAAACCAGCCTTCGAAATACCCTTCAGTTGCTCCCAGTGATGGCCCAACTGGAGTGCCTACCAAGACTCCCTCCAGCAGCCCCAGCCAAGTTCCATCAGGAAAGCCTTCTGCGTCGCCATCTGCTGCGCCAAGTGATGAACCAAGCAGAACACCAACTCAACAGCCTTCTAGTGTCCCTTCAGCAGCTCCCAGCGCTGGTCCTACGGGTGTACCTACGAAGGTTCCCTCGAGTAGCCCAAGTGCTGGGCCTTCTGGAAGACCATCTGCATCACCATCTGCTCCTCCAAGTAATGATCCAAGCGATTCACCAACTGATCAACCCTCTAGATATCCATCAGCAGCGCCTAGTGCTGGTCCTACAGGTGTGCCTACCAAGGCTCCATCCAGCAGTCCAAGCAAAGTGCCAACACCAACACCATCAGAAACACCTTCCACAACACCCAGTGATGAACCAAGTGGTACTCCAAGTCAAAAACCCTCTAGTTTCCCTTCCTCTGCACCCAGTACTGGTCCTACAGGAAAACCCACAAAGGTTCCTTCAAGTAGCCCAAGTGCTGTTCCATCAGGGGGGCCGTCTGCATCACCATCTGCCACACCAAGCAATGATCCAAGCAGGACACCAACCGACCAGCCATCGAGATATCCTTCAGCTGAACCCAGTGCAGGCCCGACAGGAGTTCCTACCAAGACTCCGTCCAGCAGACCAAGTCTGGAACCTTCTGGGCAACCGTCTACATCACCATCAAGGGCTCCCAGCGATGGACCCACAGGAACTCCCACCAAGTCCCCATCTTCTGTTCCGTCAGAAAGTCCTAGTGCTGGCCCCACTAGTGTTCCAACTATGGCACCCACTACAAAAACTCCCAGTACAAGTCCAAGTAGATATCCAACTGGCTCTCCTTCAGCTGTTCCCACAAACAAACCATCACAGGAACCAACCATGAGCTCTGGTCATCCAAGTGAAAGCCCATCGGACAAACCTTCAACTTTTCCATCACAGCACCCTACAGTAGTTCCTTCTGCAAGTCCTAGCGAAGGCCCCACTGGAAACCCCACCAAGGAACCTTCAGCTGTTCCTTCAGCAGACCCAACGGCAAATCCCACCGGAAATCCCACAGCACACCCGACAGAAACTCCCTCAGCAGAGCCTTCAGCTGTTCCAACCGCACAGCCGAGTGGTGGTCCCACTGGTGACCCCTCAATTGAGCCAACTAGTCCACCAACGGCAATCCCAAGCCAGAACCCTTCCACAGGTCCCACAGGAATGCCCACCAAAGAACCGTCATCTCTGCCTACGATGGAGCCCAGTTCGGGTCCCACTAATGACCCAACAGTTGAGCCAACCACAACACCATCATCAAACCCAAGTGAGACGCCCACTATTGTTCCATCCGAGAGTCCCAGTTCAGGCCCAACGGGTGTGCCAACCAAGACACCAACAGCATCACCTTCCAGCAGCCCAAGCAGCAACCCCACAGGATTTCCCACCGTTGCACCAACTACAAGCACACCCACAAGTGCCCCAACTGAAGTTCCAAGTGAAAGTCCCAGTTCAGGTCCAACAAGTGTGCCAACCAAGACTCCAACAGCGTCACCTTCAAGCACCCCAAGCAGCAACCCCACAGGATCTCCAACCATGTCACCTACAACCAGCACTCCAACCAGTGCCCCAACTGAAGTCCAAGTGAAAGTCCCAGTTCAGGCCCAACAAGTGTGCCAACCAAGACCCCAACAGCATCGCCTTCAAGCAGCCCAAGCAGCAACCCTACAGTAGTCCCCACTGTTGCACCAACAACGAGCACTCCACCAGTGCCCCAACTGAAGTTCCAAGTGAAAGTCCCAGTTCAGGACCAACAAGTGTGCCAACCAAGACCCCAACAGCATCACCTTCAAGCAGCCCAAGCAGCAACCCCACAGTAGCCCCCACTGTCGCACCTACAACCAGCACTCCCACGAGTGCCCCAACTGAAGTGCCAAGTGAAAGTCCAAGTTCAGTCCAACAAGTGTGCCAACCAAGGCCCCAACAGCATCACCTTCCAGCAGCCCAAGCAGTGGTCCCCCAACTGGATTTCCCACCGTGGCACCAACTACAACAGCACCCCACAGTGCCCCAACTGAAGTTCCAAGTGAAAGCCCAGTTCAGGTCCAACTAGGTGCCCACTAAGGCACCAACAGCGTCACCTCAAGCAACCCAAGCAGCACCCTCTCAACATTGGCACCTACCACAAGCACACCAACCAGTGCCCCAACTGAAGTCCAAGTGAAAGTCCAGTTCAGGCCAACAAGTGTGCCAACCAAGACACCAACAGCATCACCTTCCAAAACCCACAAGTGGTCCAACTGGATTTCCCACCGTGGCACCAACTACAGCACACCACAAGTGCCCCAACTGAAGTTCCAAGTGAAAGTCCCAGTCAGGCCCAACAAGTGTGCCAACCAAGACCCCAACAGCATCACCTTCAAGCACCCCAAGCAGCAACCCACAGGATCTCCAACATGCACCTACAACCAGCACTCCCACCAGTGCCCCGACTGAAGTGCCAAGTGAAAGTCCCAGTTCAGGCCAACAAGGTGCCAACCAAACCCCAACAGCATCACCTTCAAACAAGCAGCAACCCCACAGTAGCCCCCACTGTTACACCTACAACCAGTACTCCCACAAGTGCACCTACAGAAGTTCCAAGTGAAAGACCCAGTTCAGGTCCAACTAGGGTGCCGACTAAGCACCAACAGGATCACCCTCCAACAGCCCAAGTAACAACCCTACAGTAGCCCCCACTGTCGCACCTACAACCAGCACTCCCACCAGTGCCCCAACTGAAGTGCCAAGTGAAAGTCCCAGTTCAGGTCCGACTTCGGTGCCGACTAAGGCGCCAACAGAATCACCCTCTAACAGCCCAAGCAACAACCCTACAGGAGCCCCCACAATTGTCACCCACAACCAGTACTCCCACCAGTGCCCCAACCCAGGTGCCATCTGGAGCTCCATCATTGAATCCAACAAGTGATCCTACAATGAACCCAACAGCGTCACCCTCAAGCAACCCAAGCAGCAATCCCACGGGATCTCCAACATTGGCACCTACCACAAGCACACCAACCAGTGCCCCAACTGAAGTGCCAAGTGAAAGTCCTAGTTCAGGCCCAACAAGTGTGCCAACAAAGGCCCCAACAGCATCACCTTCCAGCCCAAGCAGTGGTCCAACTGGATTCCCACCGTGCACCAACACCAGCACACCCACAAGTGCCCCACTGAAGTTCCAAGTGAAAGTCCCAGTTCAGGTCCAACTAGGGTGCCTACTAAGGCACCAACAGGATCACCCTCCAACAGCCCAAGCAACAACCCTACAGGTGCCCCTACTATGGCACCCACAACCAGCACCCCCACCAGTGCCCCAACTCAAGTTCCCAGTGAAAGTCCAGTTCAGGCCCAACAAGTGTGCCAACCAAGACCCCAACAGCAACACCTTCAAGCAACCCAAGCAGCAACCCCACAGGATCTCCAACCATGTCACCTACAACCAGTACTCCCACCAGTGCCCCAACTGAAGTGCCAAGTGAAAGTCCCAGTTCGGGTCCAACTAGGGTGCCAACTAAGGCACCAACAGGATCACCCTCAACAGCCCAAGCAACAACCCTACAGGTGCTCCTACTATTGCACCCACAACCAGCACCCCCACAAGTGCACCTACAGAAGTTCCAAGTGAAAGTCCCAGTTCAGGTCCAACTAGGGTGCCGACTAAGGCCCCAACAGGATCACCTTCCAACAGCCCAAGCAACAACCCTACAGGAGCCCCACAATTGCACCCACAACCAGTACTCCAACCAGTGCCCCAACCCAGGTGCCATCTGGAGCTCCCTCATCGAACCCAACAAGTGATCCTACAATGAACCCAACGGCGTCACCCTCGAGCAGCCCAAGCAGCAACCCCACAGGATCTCCAACCTTGTCACCTACAACCAGCACCCCACAGTGCCCCAACTGAAGTCCAGTGAAAGTCCCAGTTTGGGCCCAACAAGTGTGCCAACCAAGACACCAACAGCATCACCTTCGAGCAGCCCAAGCAGAAACCCAACAGGATCTCCAACGATGGCACCTACACGGGAACTCCAACCAGTGCCCCAACGGAAGTACCCAGTGTATCTCCAAGTGCAGGTCCTACAGGTGTACCAACAAAGGTACCAACAGTGCTGCCTTCCATTTTGCCAAGCAGCAACCCCACAGGATCTCCAACATGCCCTACAACCAGCACTCCCACTAGTGCCCCCACTACAGTTCCAAGTGCAAGTCCCAGTATTGGACCAACAAGCGTGCCCACCAAGACCCCAACTGCATCACCTTCCAGCACTCCAAGCAGCAGCCCAACCGGAATCCCAACTATGGCACCCACAACAGGTACTCCCACCAGTGCCCCAACTGAAGTTCCAAGTGAAAGTCCCAGTGCTGGTCCGACCGGGGTGCCCACAAAAGCCCCAACAGCTCTGCCTTCTGGCTCTCCAAGCGCAACCCCACAGGATCTCCAACAATGGCACCTACAACCAGCACTCCCACCAGTGCCCCACTGACAGTTCCAAGTGAAAGTCCCAGTATTGGACCAACAAGCGTGCCCACCAAAGCCCCAACCGCATCACCTTCCAGCACTCCCAGCAGCAGTCCAACAGGAATCCCAACTATGGCACCCACCACAGGTACTCCTACCAGTGCCCCTACGGAAGTGCCAGTGCAAGTCCCAGTGCTGGTCCAACTGGGGTGCCCACAAAAGCCCCGACAGCTCTGCCTTCTGGCTCTCCAAGCGGCAACCCCACAGGTAGTCCAACTATGACTCCCACCACAGGAACACCAACAAGTGCACCCACCGAAGTGCCAAGTGCTAGTCCAAGTGCTGGACCGACAGGGGTGCCAACAAAGGCACCAACAACATCACCCTCAAGCACTCCAAGCAGCAATCCAACAGGAAACCCAACCATGACTCCAACAACAAGTACACCCACCAGTGCCCCTACCCAAGTTCCCAGTGTGGCACCAAGTGGCGGTCCAACTTCTGTTCCAACAAAGAGTCCAACAGATGGCCCTAGTTCCTTGCCAAGCACTCAGCCAACAGGTGAGCCAACTCTTGCTCCAACCACAGGGACACCAACAGCTAGTCCTACACAAGTTCCCAGTGTGAGCCCAAGTGCTGGTCCAACCGGGGATCCAACGAAGGCCCCCTCAGCGCTGCCATCAGTAGTTCCCACAGAGAAAGCATCAGAGGGTCCCACAAACGTGCCTACAGAACTTCCGACCTGGTCGAGTATGGCTCCCACAGAGACGGCATCAAATGTTCCGACAAATGTCCCTACAGCACTTCCAACCTGGTCAAGTATGAGCCCAACCGAAACACACAGTTCAGTTCCTACAACCCCTCCTACACGTGTTCCAACTAGAACCCCCACAGGCAGTCCCACAGGAGTGCCTAGTGTGAGCCCATCTGCGGGTCCTACTGGTGATCCCACAAAATCTCCTACACCCTCACCCACAGTTTCACCAAGCACAGCTGACCCTACTGAATCCCCAACCACTAGATCCCCCACAAATGCTCCCACTAGCATACCAAGTGAAAGTCCAAGTGCTGGCCCAACTGGTGACCCAACAAAATTGCCAACAGCTTTACCTTCTAGCACTCCAAGTGCTCATCCGACAGGCGCCCCAACGCTCACGCCAACAACCACTCACCCCACTACTTCTCCCACTCAAGTACCAAGTGCAAGCCCGAGTGAAGGTCCAACTGGTAACCCTACAAAATTGCCAACAACTTCGCCGTCTGGCGCTCCGAGTGCAAGTCCAACAGGTGCTCCAACATTGGCCCCTTCAACCACACACCCGACTAGTTCTCCCACCCAAGTGCCGAGTGCAAGTCCAAGTGCTGGCCCAACTAGTGACCCTACAAAATCACCAACAATGTCGCCGTCAAACAGTCCAAGTGCTGGTCCAACCGGAGTTCCAACGGTCTCCCCGACGACCACAGGGCCAACTAGTGCTCCCACTAGCATACCAAGTGGAAGTCCAAGTTCCAGCCCAACTGGCGATCCTACAAAATTACCAACAGCTTCCCCCTCTGGGATGCCCAGTGGCGGTCCAACAGGTGCTCCAACATTGGCCCCTTCAACCACACACCCGACTAGTTCTCCCACCCAAGTGCCGAGTGCAAGTCCAAGTGCTGGGCCAACTGGTGACCCTACAAAATCACCAACAACTTCACCATCAAATAACCCAAGTGCAGGGCCAACCGGAGTTCCAACGGTTTCCCCGACGACGACAGTGCCAACTAGTGCTCCCACTAGCATACCAAGTGAAAGTCCGAGTGCTGGCCCAACTGGTGACCCAACAAAATTGCCAACAACTTCACCTTCTGGTGTGCCCAGTGACGGTCCAACTGGTGGTCCAACACTTACACCAACAACCACACACCCCACATCGCCCACCCAAGTCCAAGTGAAGTCCAAGTGCTGGCCCAACTGGCGACCCTACAAAAGCACCAACAACTTCACCATCAAATAACCCAAGTGCAGGGCCAACGGGTGTTCCAACACTCGCCCCTTCAACCAGTTCACCGACTGCTGTACCACCCAAGTGCCCAGTGTAAGCCCGAGTGCTGGTCCCACTGGCAATCCAACAGTAGCTCCCACATCAGGAATTCCCACATCAGCACCTACAAACTTGCCATCGGGTGCTCCCTCATCAGACCCAACAGGTGACCCCACAATGAACCCAACGGCTTCGCCCTCAAGCACGCCGAGTGTTCGTCCAACAGGTGCTCCAACGCTTGCCCCTTCAACCCGTTCTCCAACAGCGCACCTTCCAAGTCCAAGTTCAAGTCCGAGGGTGGCCCAACTGGCGACCCTACAAATCACCAACAGCCTCACCCTCTAGTACACCAAGTGCTGGTCCGACAGGTGTTCCAACAATTGCCCCTTCAACCAGTTCTCCAACTGCTGCACCATCGCAAGTACCAAGTTCAAGTCCAAGTGGTGGCCCAACCGGTGACCCTACAAAATCACCAACAGCTTCGCCCTCTAGTACACCAAGTGCTGATCCGACAGGTGTTCCAACAGCCACACCTTCCCAAGTACCAAGTTCAAGTCCAAGTAACGGCCCAACTAGCGTCCCTACAAGATCGCCAACAATGATCCCAAGCTCGAGTCCCAGTTCTACACCAACCAATGTCCCTACCAAACAGGGGACACACCAAAACCGTCAAGCGCTCCGATTCCAGCGCCACCAAACAGAAGCTTTTCAACTCCAAGCCCCACAAGTTCCCCAACTTCTCTCCCAAGCTGGAGTCCTAGTTCTGACCGACAAGTGTCCCTACCAAACCAGGGGACACACCAAAACCAACAAGAGCTCCCATACCAAATAGAACTTTTCCAACTCCAGTACCCCCCCCTGGTCAACTCAAGCCTAAGTGCACGGACAACTTTGGAACAATTTGGGGTGACGTTCATGTGATAACGTTCGATGGGCTCAAGTATGACTGCCAGGGAGAGGGAGAGTTCCAAATTCTCACTTCGCTCAACGAGGGATCTGATTTTGAAATCCAAGGTAGATTTTCCCGATTCCATGCCACCAGGCGGATCACGGTTACTCGCGGTATCGTGATTAATACAGGAGTCTCGGGGACACCAACTGTTCAGCTTGATCTACCAGCTCACTACGACCACAAATGTGATGTTGACATGTATGTTGACAAGATGTACCGTCACATCCGTGAAGGCACTGGCTTCAACACTGTCAATGTTACCAGAGAAGCATGGAACACATACTCAGTAGTGTATCCATGGACTGGAATTAACCTGGAAATTCAAGTACAAAAATCCAGCAAGTTCGGATGCTTCTTCAATATCAAGATCTGCATCCCCGATGAAATCCGCAAGTCGGAAAGCCTAGTTGGCCTTCTTGGATCCCCCAATGCCAACAGGTTTGATAACTGGATGAAATCGGACGGAACGGTTCTACCATTTCCAAGCACCAAGAAGACATCAAGGTTCCAAACCGCCTATGATTACTGTGTTGACAACTGGTGCATCTACCATGAAGAAGAGTCTTTGTTTACTTACAACAAGTCACAAGAGGAGAGCTTTGACTTCTTCTATAACTGTGGTGACAAGTACAAGAAAGACATCCAGAGCTGCGTCGAAAAACCTCCCAAAAAATTGATTGATATCTGCAATGCTAATGAGGAATGCCTGATTGATGGATGTGGAGGTGACGAGAATGATGCTGAAACCTCGCTGGTAGTCGAAGATACGTTTGCGGAAACAAAGTGCGCCAAGGAAATTTTCTTTGAAGATTTTAGCGGTGACTTTGACGACTCTTGGGGACGAGCTGCAGAAACAGGTGGCTCTAGGTACATTGGTCCCATCGGGAAATCTGCGCCAAAGATTCATAAAGAATTTGATGTCCCCGAAAATGCAGAAAGCTTGACTGTCGAGTTCTTGTTCTATGAATTTGATGATTGGAATGGCGAACGGGGAGACAAAGTGTTTGCCAGTGTTGGAGACGTCCGGGTGGACCTGGAAAGATTTGAACAGATCGACCCCATCAACAACCCCAACAATGAACAAAGTGGCAAGTTTGAAGACGTTGCCTGGTCTCACTTTAGCATGACCAAGTTAGAGGATACTGTGCTCGGTGTCCAACATAAGGTCCGGATGAGAATTCCTCCAAATCAGTATGCTGACGGAAAGCTTGTTTTCGAGTTTGAAGTAGAAATGAGCATCAGTATGGACAAGGCTAGCGGAGGTCTCGATAACTTCCGAATTGTTGCACACTATCCGTGTGACGGCGACCCGGAAGAAAAAGATGTCAATACCACGGAATTGTCTCTTCCACTGAAAGGTGCTGGTTACAAAGGATCCTGGAAAGGTGATCCACACATCATGACGTTCGACGGGCTCAAGTATGATTGCCAGGGCACTGGCGAATTTGTAATTTTGAAGTCCGAAACCAGGCCTGATTTTGAAATCCAAGGTCGATTTGTAAAGTTTGTTCCAGAGAGGAAACCCACTGTGACAAAGTCAGTAGTCATCCAAGATGGAAGCAAAGTCCCAAGAATTCAGGTCAACGTTCCTTCTTCGGCGAAGAACGGCCTTTGTACGCCCTATGAGTATTTGAATAAAGTGAAACGTGACATTGCTGGACTCGATGAAGGACAAGCGTCCTTCCAAACCGAGGTCGTTGTCTCTGGTACGAGGGAGGGTCAGGTGATCTACTTCCATGAATCCAAAATTCAAGTGTCCCTGTGGGCAAGGAAGTCTTCTGTCGATGGTTGTGTTCTGAGCACTACAATTTTCATAGTCTATGATTCACCCCTGGTCAATGACCGGTTTGTTGGCCTCCTCGGAACCCCCAATGGTGACAAGTCAGATGATTGGATGATGCAAGACTCAACCGATGTATCCATCCCTACAACCCATCGACAGCGGTTGATTGATGCTTACGACTACTGCGTCGACAACTGGTGCATTAGGGACGCAGGTGAGACTCTCTTCACATACGATGAAGATCTGCATGAGAGCTTTGACGCTTTCGAAGACTGTGGAGCTGAGGGCGATGGCGAGACCATTGTTTACGTGGAAAAAGAACAAACAAACCAAAAAAGTGAACTATCAAAAATTTGTGGAGACGACTATGCCTGTTATGTTGATGGCTGCACTGGAACTAAAGAAGATGCCCAGAAGCTGATTGAAAGTGACAATGAAGAAGCGGACTACATGTGTGCTGAGCAAATTGAATTTGAGGATTTCGGACCCCGGCCACTACTCAGGATGCTGGGGAATCAGTGCAGAACAGGACAATGCATTTGGAAGCCCCTTCCTGCGTTTGCACAACAAGCAATCAGAAATCTTCAAAGACATTACCGTTCCTCAGGATGCCGATGTGGTCACCCTTGAGTTCCTCTTCTATGAGATCGATCAATGGGAACTGGACGACAAGGTGCTGGTGTATGTCAACGACATTGTTCTGGACTTTGGCGAATTCGGTCCCACTGCCTCCAACTACTACACCGGAGGAGCGGGAGGCATCTCATGGAAGCGGTACAGTCTAAAAGTTCAAGGACCAGATTCACCCAGTCCAGATTAGTATTCCAAAATCCGACCTGGCTACGGGTTTCTTGTTCCGCCTGAAGTTGGAAGCCGCCTTGAAGCAAGGAAACGCGAATGAGAGTGCAGACTTCGATGACATTCGAGTGATGGCGTTCAAGTTTGCTTGTCAGTCACCCAAGGACACAGCTTTGAGCCCACCTGTCAAAATGGCGGAGGTTCTCGATGTTCAACTTCCTGTACGTGCTGCCAGGGACAGCTAGCGGTGGTAGTGATGTGGTTCCTTCTCCTTTGTCTTTATTCACTTTATATGATCTATATTTTTATTCTTTTATTCTCCGCAAAGAGCTGTGCAAGGGGGATTTAGCCTCAATCGGAGGATGGGACATTGCTACGTTTAATAATTTTGATTATGCCTGTAGAGCAGAAGGGTAAGCACATGCAATGTGGAGTTGATTCTTGAACTTTTGTTTGTTTCTCACTAAACAAACGTATGCTGCTCTCAGGGAATTCATCCTTGCGCAGTCCCAAGACTCTTCATTTGAAGTTCTGGGACGTTTTGTTAATTTTCACCTTAGCAAATTCTCTTCGGTTCTGAGAGGTTTGGCAGTTCGAGATGCCAATGTACCACTCGTCGAGCTATCAATTCCCACGGACATGAAAATGAAGGATTCTAACAGGAATTCATTCTCGCACAGTCCCAAGACTCTTCATTTGAAGTTCAGGGACGTTTTGTTAATTTTCACCCTAGCAAAGTCTCTTCGGTTCCAAGAGGTTTGGTAGTTCGGGATGCCAATGCACCTCTCGTCGAGCTACCAATTCCCACGGATATGAAAATGAAGAATTCTAATGGGAAACAGGTTTCAGCTGGAACACATCGGCACTTACTGGGACAAACTCACGCGATTGGACACCCCAGGTCAGATAATGGAGATAGCCATGGAGCAATTCCGACTTGAACTGGGCAGTGACAAACCCATCACTGCGCTCCCTTACAAGCAGTGGGGGGCATGCACGACCTCATATTGGATAAAAACAATGTGGGAATCCTGTGACAAACTTGGCCTCTCGATCGAAGATGCAACTGCCAAGCCCAAACTGTCAAGGCAGAACGACAGATTTATTATGGATGCCTTTGCAGAAGCAGGATACAAAGGTGACATGCTAAGGCAGCTCAATGTGGCCAGAATGTACCTCAATGTCATCACTCTCAGTGACATTGCAGACGCAGGTGGATAACGCCTACGACTGGAGAGCTTCCAAACGGTGAGAATTGAACCACACTTGCACAGCTTGGAATGGCCGCGCCAGCCTCCATCTTTGCCTTCAGCAGTTGAGACCAACTGGAAAATAGCTGTGGAAACTTGCTTCCTAGAAGGTGACAGTGGGACAAACCCCAACAGGAAATTGAAACCACACCTCCATCTGGGACACTGGATACAAGACCCCCATACCACCTGGCCCTGGATGTACAACCCCGTGTCCCACACCTTGTACCACCAGGAAGGGTTGCTGTGGCAGGAGTACACCGGCATTGGAACCGGCACCCGATTGAAGCGGTTTCGAAGGTCGACCATTGATCAAGCCAACCAGCAACAAAAGGGACTATGACCTGCGCGTGGAAGGCAGAGCAGTTCTGAAGCAACTACGGAAGAGAAAAGTGCAAGTTATGCACCGTTGGGTGAAAGGGCACCAGGATGACGACAAGAGACCCAATCGGTGACTCCCACCGGAGCTGCTGCGTGGCAATGATCTTCACCATGGCTGTCTGGACCGATGGGCTATTCTGAACATCGAGATGGACACCAGGGCAAAAGCACATTGGGATCTCCACCAGTTCACTCCCTGCCCCAACATACCGTTCACCCACGAACGCGTGACGATAAAGTTCAAGGGTGCGAAACTCACGCGATTCCACCTCAGAGAAGTTCATACACTCCTGGGAGAAGCTTCCATCAAAGCCCATTGGAAGCAATGCGAAGAACGGGTTCGAGATGTCCACTACTCCACCGAAGAATGGAATGACAAGTGGCAACGAACCAACTGGACTGCGCATGACCGGGCCTTTCGAAGCAGCCCCCTTGGGACCCAACGGTGGATCACCAAACACGCCTCAGGAAACTGCGGCCGTATGCAACTCAGAAGGAAGTGGCAAGACCATAGCAACTGCCCACGCTGTGGACTTGCAGATGAAGACACCCTCCACGTCCTCCTTTGTGACTCCATCACCACTACAGCGGAATGGAAAAAGCAAATGATAGAGCTGAACAAGTGGATGAAGAAACGTCACACCCACCCCCGACTCTGAACCCAGATTCTCCTCCACCTCAACCGGTGGCACCAAGGAGACACCACTGCCCCACACACTGCCCGATTGCCGACATCCATCCGCCAAGCTATCGCCGACCAAACCAATCTAGGCTGGTGGAACTTGTTACTTGGCAGAGTAGCCCAATCCTTCCAACACCTCCAAACACACCACATGCAATGACTCAAGAAGAATGGAGATGGCCTGGCTTGGACCAGTGCCTTCATCAAACAGATCTGGAGCCTACTACTCTTCAACCTTTGGACCAACCGAAATGAATCCGTCCATGGCACCATCCTCACTCCCACCCAACTATCCCAACTGGATACTCTACGCGAACGGGTTCGACAACAGTACACCCAAGGCACAATAGGCCTACTCCCCGCCGACCACTGGAGAGTCCACCCGGAAACCAAAACCCACACCCTTACATTCACTATCGAAAAGACAAAACGATGGCTTGAATCTACCACCCTGGCCCGAACTGAGTTCCAGAAGCAACTTGCTCCAGCGAATCGACAGCTCCAAAGGCAACAGCAACTGATGATCACACATTTTAGTCTTAACCCGGATTAGGCCACTGCGCCCCCGGTCACTCCACGAGGAGGCATTCACTGTAATAGTGGAGAAACAAGGACCTATCCCCTCTCGTTGGGGGCAGAGGTGAAAGACGCGCGTAGACTAGTTAGCTAGTTACTGTTGGCCGGTCTAGATATTTAGCGGACCCGGATAAGAAAAAGACCGCACCACCGTAGGAATTTAAGGAAACTGGCATTCTCAGATCCAGACTTCAAAGCGACCAGCCAGAAAGATCACTTTTTCTTCACAGCTCGCCCAAATCAACAAATTAACCTTGATATTACTAGTAGCTGCAGTGTTATTAGACCCAACACTGTGAAGAAAAAGGGCGTTTGTATTGAGTTTGTCCATGGAAATAGGTATTGTAATAGCGAGAGAGAACTGAGAGGAATTGGTCAGGTATTGACCAGAGGTGCGCTGCAGCCTCACTATAAAGGCAAAGCAACAGAGCTAACAGTCAAGCTTTTTTCGCGCTCACATTTTCCCTCATTCCAAGCATCTCGGAGCATCGCCGATCGACTTGTCGACCGATTCAGAGCAAACCAGCACATCAGCGTCGAGAGCACAGCTAGCCGGTCCATATTGATGCTTGAACCAAGGTCATCCGACAAGAATTGAAGGAGTAATCGCCGATCGCGTGTTTTGGGTACCCACTCTACGAGCAAAAGCCGATCGACGCGAACGAACACGACGACCGAACCAAGAGAGATACAGCTACGGCCGCATACAAGGATCGAAAGAGGACCTATTGCCGCCTATGCCACGCAAGTGCAAGCTCTCAACTCCGAAATTGAGCAGATACGAATCGAGTACAACGTGCTGAAGCGACGGGAAGAACAAGCCCAGCCAAGCGCCGACAGCTGAAACTCAAGGAAGAAGACTCTCGAGCCTATGAAACTCTCCAGTAGGTCTATCTAACAACAAACAAGTATCTACAACAAAGAAGAAGGCTTCGAGTCGACCGATAGATCAATCGGTAGTACACTCAAAGCCAAACGGTGGAATTTTCGTGTGACAAGAGCCACACGATTTCGACGCGCAGATAGCAACAAGCCAAGTTTAAAGCAGGAGCAGTCACAAGGATGACATATAGACCCACAGAGGCAACCTGATCAATAGGAAAGAAGAGGAACCCCCTCAAGCCCCACAAGCGTCCCCACAAATCCAAGTACACCTTTCCAGTACAAGTCACGCAGCCAGTAATTCCTCAAGGAAATAGACCATATCAAGAGCAAGATGACACGATTCAACAACAGAGGAGGCCGTGCAACAGAGGAGGAGGCAGAGGCTCCTCCGGCAGAGGCCAAGGCGCGGTAGAGGCGGTGCCAGTGGTGGCGGTAGAGGCAGAGGACAAAGCAACCGCCGCAAGTACCTGTTCCATCCCAATGGACAGGCTGACTCCAGATTTTATCCGTTTTCAGAGACATTGAACCACATTGTGGCTACTTTCAGAACCAGGTCAGAGTGGATAGACGTTCCCAAAGCGTCACTGGCCATTGAGACTATGCAAGACCAGACGCCGACAGAGCCAACGGAACCATCCTATAATACGGATGCTGAGGCAAGAAGATATATGACGAGCTCAAGTAACTCTCTACAAGAATAAGTTTCTACTTGGAGAAGCAGGAAACTGAGTACAGAATGCCCTGCAGAATGGGGCAGCCAGCATCTACCAGTTTTATTGTACCGAACAGATGAAGAGCAACTACGAAATCTCCAGACTGGGAGCAGATCAAACTAGATCCCATTAAAGTCCTAGGCAAGTCCGAGGACTGACTGCCGCGGCACCACCAGAGAGCATCCGTTGTCCAGTTCGTCAGCCAGTTACAGCGTGCCTTTCCCCAAGCAAGAGGAAGGAGAACCGACTGATGTCTTTCTCCGTAGATGGCTGCCGACTCGGTTCAGATTACTGACATCGTTGGCACAGGATACATGGATTGTTTCTCCTGAAGCAGCCCGAGTACGAGAAGATCAAGGATGACCAAGACAAGGTGAAAGAATACCTGAATGACGGACGCAACGAGATCATCGCTCTCATTGGCTACAGAGGGTATTCCCAGGACGGTATGGCGACTATCAGGCTACCGTGGAGGCTCCTATGCCATGGATGGCACGAGTAATTATCCCACGAGCCTTGAGCTCTCCGTGAGACCCTCAACTCTGATCGATCAAGCCCAGCAAGGAGTGGGATGAGGGCCAGACGTGCCCGTGCCAAGGGCTCTGGCCAGCCCAAGACGATTGACCAACCAAGAAGGAGTTTGGTGTCAATGCCGTTGTCCTTTATCAGCAGAATAAGCGAGGGAGTCCTGCTACTGCTGTGGCAATCCCAACCACAAGTTGCCGGATTGCAAAGTCCGAGACAAGATCCCCAAGCCCGAGTGGGCATTAACAATTCCAAGGTCTGAAGAAGCATTCTTCCAACAGTACCATCAGTTTTCGAAGCTTCACGCTCGGTCTCCCAGACGTACCCCAGCCCAGCTTCCCCAGCAACAGTCTGCGATGAGCCCGATGCTCAGTCGCACAGGAGTGAGTTCCGACCAAGTTTCAGTCCAATTTCACCAGGATCGATTCCTCCACAACTCCAAGCACACCAAGCGCAACCAGCCAGCAGTTCCCATCGTCGCTTCCGCGCTGGCTCGACAATTCCAGCGTTCCATCCCCATCAACAACGAGTTCCAGTCCGTCCGCAGTACCAACAAGTAGGGATCCCAGTTCCCGTTCCGAACCAAGCTCCAGCCTTAGCCCAAGTTCCAGGCCCAGGCGCAGAAGAGTCGTTTGCACAGGAGTGGACTGCAGGTTAGATGACGGTTGAACAAGTGTTACCTGGACAGTTGCAGCTCGATCAATTCAGTGGCCATATGGCCGTCGGTAAGAATAACGGGCAGCCAGACAGCCG